AAGGGTTAGAGTCAAAGTTTAAGAGTTAAAGTCAGAGTTTAAGAGTCAGAGTCGGAGTTTAAGGGTCTGAGTCGGAGTGTAAGGGTTGGAGTTGGAGTGTAAGGGTCAGAGTTTAATGGTCAGAGTCAGAGTTTAAAAGTTAGAGTTTAAGAGTTACAGTTGGAGTTAAAGTCTGAGAAAGCATTAAATTTAGAGCTTAAGGGTTAAAGTTGGATAATAAAGTGTTAAGTTTAGAGTTTAAAGGTTGAAGTCAGAGAGTAATGGGTCACTTTTAAAATTTAAAGGTTAAAGTCCGATAAAGTTTTAATTTTAGAGTTTAAGGGTAAAAGTCAGACGTTAAAGCCTTAAATTTAAGTTTAAGGGTTAAAGTCAGAGGGTTTAAGTTGTTAAATTTAGAATTTAAAGTGTTGATTGTATTAACTGTGCTTTTTATTGTCTGTAACAGAATAAAGAGTAACTTTGAAGCTGGAGGGGAAGCAGATCTTCAGGTAGGACGTGTAAAGTGTGGATTGTGTCTGTAGTAAATAAATGTGTTGATGGTGGGGTCAGTCTGAGTGGACTGTTCTGTGGTCAGGTTGGTGAAGATGGTGAAGAAATGGAGGTTCTGTCCTCTCTGTCTAAAAGTCCTGAGTGCTGAGGTAACCACTCTGATATGAGGAGGAGATTTTCACTGTTTGATGGTGAAGATGATGATGATGATGGTGATGGTGATGGTGAGGAAGATGATGATGATGGTGATGGTGATGAAGATGATGATGATGATGGTGATAATAATGATGGTGATGGTGATGATGATGATGGTGATGGTGATGATGATGATGATGATGTGTTCTTTATTCTACAGGATCGTTCAGTACTGTAGAAGAACATGTTCCACTGCTGGAGATCTGGACAACCTGAACACAGTCTCACTGATAAACATCTCACACTTACTGAACACTCAACCAAACTCTGCTGTGTGAGCTGAGCTAAAGTTCTGACTCACAAACTGCTTACAGTAACATTATTTATAGTCATTTACACTTCAGTTCAGAGCTGTTTGAGTGTGAAACTGTAACCATCTACAAAACACCACACCTGATACCAAATTACACTACAGACGGCGTCCACATATTTTTGTCTGTCTGTGTTTTGTTGTCCAGACAACAGCAGCATTTCAGTTCCTGAAAACGCAGCTTTTTGGGAACACTGATGTCACACTGTTCACTCACAAGGCTGTGGCTGTTTTCACTTACTGAGCAGAACTCAGCCTGAAATACAGCTGCTAACTCCTGCTCGGCATTTTGGGAGTTAACAGAAATCACACTGGGGGGCTTTAGTTTCAAAATGATGAACGATTTAAAATGAGGTTGTTAGAAGTGAGATGCAGAAGAAATACTAACGATTCTGCACTATTTCCGTAAAAAATATAATAAAATGTAATGTGATCTGTTTAATTCCTTCCATTGAAGCTTGTGGTCAGATTATTATTATTATTATTATTATTATTATTATTATTATTATGTGGATTTGATCGGCTCATCAGAGGATTTTGTTTTGCAAAGTTCATGCAGCTTGAGTGCAAACGGGTCATTACCACTAAAGAGGGAAACGCCACCAAATACAAATGGCTTCTGGTATTCATGTAAATATTTTGACAGTTCTGCTCTTTGCTTAAATTATAATATCATTGGTAATTAAATAATAATTTGTGAGTAAATTGTAATTTATATTAAATTAGAAAAGACGAACCCTAATCCACTGTTTACAGTTTTAGGTTTAAGATATTACAAAACTGTTTATTTTGTCTGTGTTTGTATTATTATATTATTATATATATTCTATAATATTACAATACATATGAGCAATATTAACGTGATTTTGTGTGTGTCCGTGTATTTAACCGGTTATTTTTGCCCAGTACTATATAAATAAATATTTTCACACACAGTCACTCCTCCTTGTTTCTGCGCTCATTGTCCATTTTATCAGCTTCACTTACTATATAGGGTCACTCTGTACAGTTACAGACTGTAGTCCATGTGTTTCTCTGCATACTTTGTTAGCCCCCTTTTACCCTGTTCTTCAGTGGTCAGGACCCCCATGGACCCTCACAGAGCAGGTACTATTTGGGTGGTGGATCATTCTCAGCACTGCAGTAACACTGATGTGGTGGTGGTGTGTTAGTGTGTGTTGTGCTGGTCTGAGTGGATCAGACACAGCAGTGCTGCTGGAGTGTTTAAACACTGTGTCCACTCACTGTCCACTCTATTAGACACTCAGTGTTTAGTAGAAAGTGTTGACACAGAGTATAAAGAGAGTGAAATGGAGTGAAATGTTCGGATCTTTGCTTCACTGTGGAGGGATTTATACAGGACTGAGTCTGGGAGTCACTTCAGTAGAGAACAGAGAGAAAACAGTGCTGAGTTTATATGAAACAGTGTTTTACACTAAAAAGGAAACATCTTAGCTTTTAACTGCTTCACCACAGTCATTCAAAAGTGCTTTATAAATGAGAAAATACAGAGATAATTCAAATTAGAATTTAAAAAGTAGCATAGAGAGAACAAGAGGAGAAAAAAATTAAAACACAATTATTAACAATACTTTTGATGGTTTAAGGTGGTTTAAGGTGATGATGATGATTTTAAAAGAAAAGAAGTGAATCATTAAATTTAAAGTCACATTAAAGTTAGAATAGTAAAGTGCTGTTATAGGGGAGGAGTGGAGTAGAGCTAACAGGGTTTAAATACAAAGCTTAACATTTTCATTCACCTCATTGGAAGTTTCTAAGTTTCGATTAACTGAGCAAATATGAAACATCAAACTTATAACAATGCATCAACACTTTACACAAGCTGAGAGTATAAAAAGCACAAATACAGAAGCCGAGATAGTTTTTAAGCTAAGCTGTGCCCACATGTTACACAGCTCAGGATCACTTGTTGGATATTCGTCCTGTGACTGAATCCCTGCACCGAATCCTGTGTTTTTAGTGCAGGAACTGGGGTTTGTGGGAGATGATTGCTTCACTCTTCCACACATTGACTTGCTGAAAGTTGTGAGAGAGTTCGTTTGATGAATCTGCTACCATTTCCTGAGGAACCTGAACCGAAAAACAATCCACACAAACTGTTCAAACTGTACAAGCTGTTCATTTAGTTATAGAAACAATCAGCATTTACAGTCTCACCTGAGGACCTGCTTCCCTCCCATCTTCAAAATTATTCTTTATCCTGTTAGAAACAGTGAGGGATGAGATTTTACACTGTTTAATTCACTCTGTTTTCTTAAATTAATGTGTTTATCTGCATCTGAAATCAGTGAAAGCTGTCCTGATCAGCGTGTCTTACATGTTCACTCTTCTATACAGGGAGCTTCGCTGCTGATACACCAGAGACATATATTTTCTAAAATACACTCTGAGCATCATTAATTACTGATGCATGTATATTAACACACTTATTAATGAATGGAGTTTACCTGTCTCTCATCCTCATCCCTTTCAGCAGACATACAAGGAGACACATACAGTAATTACAATCAATAAGTAATATTATTAAATTATAATTTCAATTACATTTACATATGACATAATTACAGCACAGTATCTTTGCACCTTTTATGAAGTGAAGCAGCAAGTCTGTATGAAGTATAATCCTTTATGAAGTTCATTTCACATATTAATAATAATTTAAAAGGTGAAATCCTGTTGATGTTATCAGGCTTGGCTAAAAGAGCAGAGACACATACAGGTTTAAAAAAAGTTCTGTTCTTTTCTTTTCCACTCTGATTATCATACTGGCTGAAATGCAGCATTGCACAGGTGTGCCTAGTTGGCGGTAATCGGCCCATAGGCTTCTGGGAATTGGAGTTCCCAGGATTGGTTGCTCTGCTGGTGGTGGCACATGTTGATCTCTTACAGGGGAGAATACAGAGGATACACTGATTGTTAAGGATGTGAAATCAGCCATTGCATTTCCTCCAACCTGGAGAAACAAACCCAGTCTGATTCCATCTGTGACTCACCCAGATGACGCCTCTCACAGTGAGGCATTCATTCATCTCAGAGATTTTAAAAGACCCTCCCACCTAGATACACATTTCTCAGATATCATCCCACACATGTGTGGTTAATGCAAGGCCTACAGTCAGAAGCCACAGCCTGATGTCTCTAAGACTGCCTCTACAAGCAGAGACTACATCTGGGGAAGCCATTTCAGCTCAGCAACTCAGTCAGGGCTCATGTTGTCTAAGAGGGGGTCCAGCTAAGTCATTCATCTGGATATGGTCACTGCTCAGAGGTCAATACGTCCCCAGAAAATGTTGCTATTCTCATTTTATCAAAGAATAATGTGAAATTGTCTGGTGTGCTTTTAAGCATGTTAATCAGAGGTTTTCTTCTTCTTTATTTTACAGTTATTCTGATCCTCATATATTTATTTTAATTTAAACAATATGATCCCTTTATTTTATAGCTTCAGAGGTTAAAAACAGAAACAGTGAACAGGGCAGTTAACGCAGTTTAGGTTTATGTATATAAGATCACTGTTTTTCATGCTAATCCTTTGTTTCAAAATTAAATGAGTCAAATTAGTGTTTGATTTGAATCTTGATTTCATATGAAAAACATATTGAACATATTGAAAGTATGTTTATCATTAAATCCTAATTCGTTTCTCTGTTTATAGTACTTACAGCTGCCATAGATTTGCAAGGCAAGCCAACCAGAAATGAAGAGTGATTCGAATGGTAAGATGATGGTGTGCATTTCTGGCAGAGTGCGCACTCCTCCACCTGCAGATTCATAACACACACACACACACACACACACACATACTTGTTTTTGTGAATTGTGGGGGTCACCTGGAGGAATTGTCACATTGTGGGGACCACCCTTTCCAAAGGTCCTACAGACTTGAAAAAAATCATGCTTTGTCAAAATGCACTTGTGAATCATAATATCACTTCAAATTTCAAATATCTCACCATAATGGATTCTGACCTGACCTGGAGGTCACTTGTGGGGACATTTCAGGTATTGAGTATATCTGAGGACCATCATTACACACATCACTCGTTTTCATTCTTTGTGAGGACCAGTTCCATACTGAGAAGGAACACTGCTTTTTTCTTCTTAATGCAAACAAAATTACTAATCCAGATAGATGCATTAGTTTAAAGATGCATTTATTAGTAACAGAATAAGTATTAGATGTAGAAAAGTTAAGAACATACTGCAGCAAATATGCATCTTGCAATAAACCTTTTACCTTGAACAACCTTGTCCACATGACCAGATTAACCAGACCAAAGAAAACCATGAAAATTAACAATTTAAGTTAAATAATAAAGCTCTCCATTCTCCATTCAAGATACAGTATGTGTTGACCAAGTCTTACACCTGTCTCTGCAATGCTGTGATGCGATTTTTTACGTAGAACTTAACAGCTAACCAGTCTCTGTTTTTAAGTGCCAGTGGTTCAGCTTCTATACAGCGAACACAGTCAGCTTTTCCTGGAACTTTCCAGCTTTGAATGAACCTCATCATGTGGTTCTCCACAGCATGGATTTCATTAACACTCCAGGGTGTTCTCTTACAGGGACCTAAGAGATAAAAAAAAAACACAAATCAAAAGAAATTTTCGTATGCATAAAATGTCATCAAAGCTTTGATCTTTAATCAAACATGCATTTGGCACAAACGGCATAATTTATTTCAGAATCGATTGCGTTTACTGTCATTTTGCAGCAATTTTTAAAACATGACCAAAAAATGAATATGAGATGACAGTTTAGAATTTCAACTTTTCTGATATTTACATCTTGATGTGTTGAACAACTTAGAACAGGGCACCTTTGATGGCAGACCACCCAATTTTTAGGTCAGCAAATCTATAGTAACATGGTCTTAAAGTAAATTAAAGCAGATAACACTTTATATTTTGTTGTGTATCCCTTGCTTGCAGTAACTGCATCAAGCTGGTGACCCACTGACACCACCAAACTGTTACATTCTTCTTTTGTGATGCTTTTCCAGGCTTTTTACCACAACTTCTTTCAGTTGTTAATTTTTTGGGGGGGTTTCTCCCTTCGTTCTCCTTTTCAGGAGGTGAAATGCTGCTCAATTTGGTAAAGGTCCAGTTAATGCAAGAAACACCTGTTGGTCACATGTTCTAATATGTTTGCTAACTGGAAAAATGGGTGGGTTCAAACAAAAGTTGCCATGTTCTGCCATCTAGATGTAAATATCAGAAAATAAAAGCTGATCTATGAATGAAAAATGAAATTCTGATCTATCATCTCATATTAATCTTTTGAGCAAAAACACAAAAGAATTGGCCTTTACATTCCAAAACTTTTAGAGGAGACTGTATGTGGAATATAGCCGCAGTAAACAGTTAAACTGGATCAGGGTTGTACTTTATATGTATAAAGTGGAATCCTAAAGTTTTTATTTTGCATTTTCTATTTTGCATTGTTTTGTAACTTATTGCCAAGTTTTTAATTAAATATTTTATCAGCGCGGCTCCCGAGTGGCGCAACCGTCTAAGCGTTGGCCCTCATCAGAAGATCGCGAGTTCGATCCCTGGTGATGCTACAGCCGTCCGTAGCCGGGAGTCCGAGAGAGCACAATTGGCCTCGCTCTCTCTGGGTGGGTAGGATGGCCCCTCCTTCTCCCCCCATCACTCAGCGCGATGCTAGTCAGCGCAGGCGTCTGTTAGCTGACGTAACAGACCTGGCGGTTGGCGCTTTCCTCCGAGCGCGTTCGGCTGTCCAGTGACGTTGCGTGAGCGGCAGCTCGAAAAGAAGCGGTGGTGCTTCACAGCTCTCGGAGGAAGCCTGTGTTAGCCTCGCCCTCCTAGCGTTGATAGCATCGTGTGATTGGGGGAGACTAACTAGCGGGTGGAATTGGACACGACTAAATTGGGGAGAAAATCGGGTAAAAAAAAAAAAAAAAAAAATTATCGGCATGACTGTGTGAAAAGTATTTTGTACAGTATGTGCCCATTTGCTTTAATGACAGCATGTGTTGTCAAGTTGGCATGGACTCTACAAGTTTGTGTAAAAGCATCTGATGGGTAGATCAAATGCACCTGAGAGTCATATGAACACAAGCTTCAAGAGATAAGACTACAAAACAATCTGACATTTTATACAAAGACCTTAACCCTGTAATAGTGACCAAAAAAGTGCCAAACCTTGCATATTTCTTCTTCATTTTACTTAGTCATAGCTTTGCTTTGTTTCAAAATTTTCAAAATTTTCAAAACTTTCTTTTGTTCATTTATAATTTTGACTAAATCCCAAATTTCCAACGTGGTCTCAGACTCTTTGCTTTATCTTTTTATTTTAAAAAAAAGTATTCACAAGCATAACAATAATAACAAACAAAATAAATAAAAAAAATAAGTTGAAGTTAAAGATTCGTAAAATTTTTACCATTCGAGGCCACTTGCACAACCTTTATCTTTAAAGCTGTTTTACCTAAGGTTGTTTGAAATGGCCAGTTTTGCCTGACTGTTCAGTCATGTTCACATGTGGGAATATGACTGTCTTGCTGTGGTTTGTATGAAATAAATAAAAAAACAAACAAACAACAGATTTGGTAAATGAACTCTGTTAACCATCATTACACATAGGTCTAACCGACAGACTGTACACGTTCTGTGTACAAACATAAACGCTAAAGAATCATCTTTGGATAATGACCTTACCTCTCTTTCTTTTAATTGACCTCAGCAATTGGCCTGTCTCACCGTCATTTTGCCCTGCACTGACTTGTGGTAAGGACAAAGTTGCATCACACTCTGAATAAGAAAGGAAAGAGAAGATTAATACATTTTTGGCATTATATTTTCCTTCCTGCCTTCCCTATTCTAATATACCTGATAAGTCCAATTCATCACATATGTAAACAAATATAAAAGTTTAAAATCTTTGGTTAATGACCTTACCTCTCACTTTTTTGTTTGACTTCAGCAATTGGTCTGCCTCCTCGTCAAATTGCCCTGCATTATCTTGTGGCAATGAGATGGGTGCATCATTCTCTGATAAAGCCAAAAAAACAAAAAAAAAAAAACACCTGTATAAACACCTTTCATCTTTCAAACACCTGTATAAGCATCATTCTGCCATATCCTGCTCCTGTAATGCTCCTGCCCTGTCATTTTTCTTGTTTGCTGTTGTAATACATTTGATTCAACTAATACTGAGTAGAAGTTGGTGTGTTACAGCAAGGAAAACACTAAAATTAGCAGACCAAGAGAACTCCATGACCATTCTGTTTGTCAAGACAACAGAACAGACACCACACACATTACTTATATCTCCCCCTGTCATTAGGCAAACAGTACTGTAGAATTCAGTCCAGAAATACCTGAATGAAGTTTCTAAACTCTCCTAAACTGCTATCTTTGGCATATTCAGTAACGTGAAGCTCTACCTCACTCATGCTGATGAAATACTACTGCTCTATTACAGCATTTACATAACACACATATACCGCACAATACAGCTAAGCTGTAATATACCCCAAGTCCTGTAAAAAGTGTAAAAATGTGCATTTTGAAATATACATAAATACACTGACTGTATGCACTTCATCATGAATTTGCTACGTTCTTGGTCAATCAGAAAAACCCTGTAACAAATGCATTTTAAAATACCCCTTCTATGTAAGTACATTCACAAGTTTCTCTGACGAGTAGTTTTAGATCAAATGTATAAGTTAGCTTAGAAACAAGATTACTAAATTCAGGGTCAAGATCTGTCAGGCAAAAGTACTGAGGACCTTACAATGCAATAAATCCAGAACTGTACAGAAAGTCATAAACATTTACTACCTTAATTCTGAGGATAATATTAAAGAAAAAAAAAAAAAGATTGGGGTATGTTAACCACTTACCGGTCATACTGCTTTCAGGCTCTACCAATTCACTGTCCACTGTAACTTGCTCTAAAGGCAGAAAAAGAGCATACAAATAAAAAAAAGTTGTAATAACCATACTCTGAGGTATGCAAGTTATAGCATGTGTTCGATTCAAAAGATATCACAAATTATTTTACACTCAGTGTTCTGAAACTCTGTATGGCAACAAAAATCATAAAATCACTGTGTGTTGTAAGAACGACTAATTGTGTGGTGTATTGTACCATCAGGATCAATGTTGATTTCATCAAGATTCCTCCCCTTGAATTCTGTCAAGCGACCCTTCTCAAATGCTAGGAGAATTTTGCTCAGTTTAGCCAGTTGGAGGGTGCCCTCAGGTAAGCGGTAAAACTGACGATGCACACGAATATCATGGCCTAGAAAATCAGCCAACTGATCCAGCTCTGTGTTGCTGAGGTTTAACACTTCCGAGAGGGTTCCAATCTGTTTTCTTAACTTTGTAGAGGTGACTGTGCTGGGATTTTTCACACCAGAAGCCTTTGCAAAATCCCGGATACAGTCTGAGCCTTGAAAGCAGGTCATTGCAAAAGGGCGTGCAAAGAGGTAGATATTTTCCTGAAGTACTCCACATTTACTTCGATTCTTTACGAGCACGTCAAGTGATTCTTGCATTGTTGGAGTTACAAGAACAGCAACCTTCCTGCCTCTTTTGCCTCTGATCTCTATTCGTTTGAAGTGTTGACAGAGCTTCTTTTCCAATTCTGAGAGGGCCAGGCAAACATCTGGATGTGGATCCGATGCATCTCTGGAAGTGTATGCAGACAAGGGCATGTGAGAAACTTCTCCTTCATGTCTCCGATTAAACAGCATCACTTGCGTCAGTGTGACCTTTGCTAATTGTGACCAGTGCTGAGATGAAGGCTCCGCTGACAGCATTTTACGGTAATGGTGCTCTTGCTCATCAAGATACAACTAAAGACGTTTAACATCTTCGGTGAATGGAAGCAACTGAGGAGAGTTCCATTTGGCTTCCTCCAGTGTTCGCCGAGCTGTGGCTGAAATATACTCATGCCATCTGGAGCTATAGATTTTCTGGAAGCTGCTGGTCTCTTTTGCTGTTGCCTTGTCTCCTTCTATGGTGGCATTGCTTTCAACAAGCATAGCAATTCTGTTCAGGCTATGCCCAAGTTTCACGGCTACACTTGCTGATTCATATTTATTTGTGTCTTTGTTGTAACCAGCTGTCTGCTTAACTGCAGTGACTGTATGCATGAAGTTTTCAGGACGGATAAGATCTTTAATACACTTAAGGGGTGTGACCTCTTGTGTGCATATTTGGAGTCTTCCAAGCTCTCTCATCTTCTGACGGATGTATTCGTGCATTTTAACCTGCAATCCATACTTATTATACAGATGCTTTCCAAAATCAATTATACACTGGTCATTCCGGACTGCAAGAGCCACTCTATCTTGATTCATGGCACTTATAAGCTTCCAAACACCATCAGTTACACCTGGTGGGGGAGGTGTCGCGAAAGAGCACAGAGCCTGGACACGGGTTTTTCCAGGTTTAGGTGTGGAGTCACCAGGCTTGAATTTGCAGACTTTAACATGTCGCCACAATGTTTTCTTTAAAAACAATCCCTGACAGTGAACACAAGGAATAAACTCTTCACCATCTGAGAGTTTTTTTGGTAACTTGCGAGGAACTAGTTTTCCTTTGCCTGTTTTCAATACAACAGAATTGTGCTCAAAATTACCTTTGTTACGCAGATACTCTAACTGCATTCTCCTTTTTTTGGATCCCTTTGGATGACTTAGTGCCTTTGCTACCTCCACCTCTTGGGAATGTTTACGTTCCAGGTGTCTTGCAAGTTTGGAAAAAGCTAAGCCACAGAACAAGCAGTGCTGTTTTTTGTCATACACTCTCCCACCATCACTCTTTTTGCTTACAGCAGGAATAATCACTGAGTGACTTGTGCTTTCTTGGTCAACAAATGATGTGCTGTCTGGATTAAGTGTTTTATCACAGCTGCGAGAGTTCTGAGTGTCACTGCTGCTCTGAAGTTCACCGTTTCTGCTGCTGCTCCGAATCTGAGAGGTAGAGCTGCTGATGCTGTTCTGACAAAGTGGGTTTGGGCTTGTACTAGTGCTCTGAAGTGGACAAGCAAGGGGCCTTCTTTTGCACTTTGATGATGAAAAAATTGTGCTACTGTCTGAACTATCTTCTGAGGTATCTGGAATATATTCTTCCTCACTCCCTTCACTGTGATCAGACAGCTCCTCATTGGTGTCAATACACCTATCCAAGTTATCAGGACTCTTCCCTCTGAACTTAAAAAACAGTGACAATTTAACTAATTAAATCCTGAACCATATATAATCCTCTCTGATGAAATGTAAAATATGAAATTTGAGACTTACTTGACTGCTTTGTCGTTTTCTTAGTGTGTTCCCAGCCCATGTGTGTTCCAATTTTCTGACCTTATCAGCACCTGCATGATTATTGTCCTTACTGCTTTTACTGGAGTTGTAATTATCATCAGTGGAGTCAAAAAGGTCATCTGAATAATCAGAAGTCTTCTCTTGTATCTAAGAAAAACAATACTGTAATTCATTTAAGGCACTCGATACTTATTGTTCAACTAATAATCCTAGAAAATAAACAGAAGATTTACACCAAAATGACTAAATGCAAGAAATAGAATCCATTGCAATAATCAAAAGAATATTATTTTAAAACTATAATGTGCTTATTTTAAAGCAGTTTAATTATAATGCAAGGATATTTAATTTCAACCATGTTCAACCTCTAAATCAGAATGAACGTGGAGTAATGGGTAATGCCAATTTAACAGTCAATGTATTGTGGAAAATCTGATATTTAAAATTTATATTTGTTAAGTAATACTGCCAGATTATTGATCCATTAGACATTTAATTGTGTGATACAAAAAGATTTTTCTGAGAGTTCATACAGACCCTTAAAAGAGAGGTTAAGGTCAGAAAAATATAACAGAAGAAATTGCTTCTATTTTTTTTCCAGTGTTTAACTACAGCATGCTGTATTCCACCATTACAAAAACAATACAAATATTATTAACTATATGTAATAATTTAGTGGGTATTACTTATTAAGCTGACACCAAAAAAACTGATGTCAGAATATGAAAACACTTTTAAATACCTTTAAGGAAGCTCCAGCATTGGTCACAGGAGCTGAAACTGAGTGGCTTGATTCAACTACGGTCATCACGTTAGCAGCGTCCTCATATTCAGGCTACAGGAGTTTCAAATATCACAGATAAACATTTCAATACATCTCAAACACAAGTTTATCATTATTTAAAAGGCACTACAGAATTTCACACCATGTTTTATCAGTGTCTGCTGCTTCAAGTTAACCAGACACAGAGATACAACGTTATAGAAAAGAGTGTGTAAATGACATCAATCTTAATATGAATCAAAAATTCATATTACACCCATAATGGGATTAATTATGAGAGTAAAAACTGCTGTTGAGTACAATAGACCATATGTTCTTTTATGTGTGTTCACTGCTCTGCTGGTTCAGGTTGAATAGACGGGGTCCCCACTATACTAAACCTGACAGTGTGTGTAACCAATACCAAACTTACAGACTCATGTACAAAGAGGAAACTATAACAACTTTATTTCAGACACAGAATGACATTGCTCATGAGGGCATTTAAACTGTAATTCAGAAATAAAGTCTACATATTGTACTGTGAGTTTAATGCTCTACTAGAGGTTTCTACCTAGACGTGGTCCCCACTATGGCAGACCTGACAGTGTGTGTGACCAATATCAACCTTAAACACTTATTTAAAAACAGGAAACTATTACCAGTTCATATGAGACCCTGAATGACATTAGTCATAGGGTAACCTACACTGTAGTTGAGAAATGTTGTCTATATGTTGTTCTGAGAGTCCACTGCTATAGTGGAAGGTCCTCCTTAGATGTGGTCCCCACTATGCTAAACATGACAGAGGGTGTAACCAAAACCATTCAAACATTTCTATCCTGAGATGGTCCCCACAATGCGAGACCTGAGAGCATGTGTAACTAATACAGAATTTCACACCATATTTTATCAGAGTCTGCTGCTTTAGTGGGTCAAGTTAACCAGACATGGAGCCACCATGTTACAGAAGACAATGTAAATGACATCAATCTTAATATGAATCAAAAATTCATATGACACCCTTAAAGGAATTCATTGTAAAGAGGACAAACTTCTGTTGAGAACAATAGACCATATATTCTTCTGTGTTCACTGCTCTGCTGGTTCAGGTTGACTAGACGTGGTCCTCACTACGGCAGACCTGACAGTGTGTGTAACCAATATCAACCTTAAACACTTGTTTAAAAACAGGAAACTATTACCAGTTCATATAAGACCCTGAATGACATTAGTCAAAAGGGACCCTACACTGTAGTTCAGAAATGTTGTCTATATGTTGTCCTGTGAGTCTACTGCTTTAGTGGAAGGCTCTACCTAGATGTGGTCCCCACTATACTAAACCTGACAGTGTGCATAACCAATACCAACCTTACAGACTTGAGTACAAAGAGGAAACTATTACAAATTCATTTCAGACACAGAATGACATTGCCCATAAGGGCACTTAAACTGTAATTCAGAAATAAAGTCTACATACTGTCCTGTGAGTCTACTGCTATAGTGCAAGGTTCTACCTAGACGTGGTCCCCACTATGGCAGACCTGACAGTGTGTGTGACCAATATCAACCTTAAACACTTGTTTAAAAACAGGAAACTATTACCAGTTCATATGAGACCCTGAATGACATTAGTCAAAAGGGACCCTACACTGTAGTTGAGAAATGTTGTCTATATGTTGTTCTGAGAGTCCACTGCTATAGTGGAAGGTCCTCCTTAGATGTGGTCCCCACTATGCTAAACATGACAGAGGGTGTAACCAAAACCATTCAAACATTTCTATCCTGAGATGGTCCCCACAATGCGAGACCTGAGAGCATGTGTAACTAATACAGAATTTCACACCATATTTTATCAGAGTCTGCTGCTTTAGTGGGTCAAGTTAACCAGACATGGAGCCACCATGTTACAGAAGACAATGTAAATGACATCAATCTTAATATGAATCAAAAATTCATATGACACCCTTAAAGGAATTCATTGTAAAGAGGACAAACTTCTGTTGAGAACAATAGACCATATATTCTTCTGTGACATGACAGTGTGTGTAACCAATATCAACCTTACAGACTCGTGTACAAAGAGGAAACTATTACAAATTCATTTCAGATGTTAAATGACATTGGTCATGAGGTCATTTAAACTGTAATTCAGAAATAAAGTCTACATACTGTCCTGTGAGTCTAATGCTATAGTGCAAGTTTCTACCTAGACGTGGTCCCCACTATGGCAGACCTGACAGTGTGTGTGACCAGTATCAACCTTGAACACTTTTCAGTTCATATGAGACCCTGAGTGACGGTCATAAGGTAACCTACACTGTAGTTCAGAAATGTTGTCTATATGTTGTCCTGTATGTCTACTCCTTTAGTGGAAGTCTTGATGTAGATGTCGTCCCCACTACGCTAAATCTGACAGTGAATGTAACTAAAACCATTCAAACATATCTATCCTGAGAGGGTCCCCACAATGCAAAACCTGAGAGCATGTGTAACTAATACTATCCCTAAGGCCTCACTTAAAAACAATTAACTCTGACAAATTTATACCAGACAACAAATGAAATCAGTCCTGAAGTAACTTCAATTGACCATAATTAGCTACAGAACTACCAAGTAGTTCAATCACTACGTGCATACAAAAACATTTTTTAAATACCTTTAAGACAGAAGTTCCAGAGTTGGTCACAGGACTTGAAGCTGAGCGGCTTGGTTCAACCACGTCCATCATGTTAGCAGAGTCCTCACATGCAGGCTACAGGGATTTCAAATAATACAGTTAAATATTTAGAATTGAACAGCATTTCATACAAAAGAAATGAGGCTGTCCCAGGCTACACCACATAGTGTACATGTAATGCAAACTACACAGTCTACACATCATAACTACCTAATAAGACAATAACTTGCACCAAAAAATGCAGTATTACTAGGCCAGTAAAGTCATTCAGTTGTCTAATAGTTCTAAAGAAACAATCTTCCGAACAACTGATACATGTGTAAACCAATGCAGTAATTACATGCTGTAACGCAAGTATGTCTACACTTTTTTAAATACCTTTAAGTCAGAAGAGGAAGCTCCAGCGTTGGTCAGAGGACTTGAAGCTGCGTGGCATGGTTCAACCTCGTCCATCATGTTAGTAGTGTCCTCACATGCAGGCTAAAGGGATTTCAAATATCACAGTTAAACATTTCAGTAAACCTCACCTACATGTACATCAGTATTTAAAATGCAATACAGAATTTCACACCATGTTTTATCAGTGTCTGCTGCTTTAGTGGGTCAAGTTAATCAGACATGGAGCCACCATGTCACAGAAGACAATGTAAATGACATCAATCTTAATATGAATCAAAAAGTCATATGACACCCTTAAAGAAATTAATTATTCTTTATAATTTTATAATTAATTATAGTGGGTCAAGTTAACCAGACATGGAGCCACCATGTTACAGAAGACAATGTAAATGACATCAATCTTAATATGAATCAAAAATTCATATGACACCCTTAAAGGAATTCATTGTAAAGAGGACAAACTGCTGTTGAGAACAAAAGACCATATATTCTTCTGTGTGTTCACTGCTCTGCTGGTTCACATTGACTAGACGTGGTCCCCACTATACTAAACCGGACGGTGTGTGTAACCAATACCAAACTTACAGACTCATGTACAAAGAGGAAACTATTACAACTTTATTTCAGACGCTGAATGACATTGGTCATGAGGGCATTTAAATTGTAATTCAGAAATAAAGTCTACATATTGTCCTGCGAGTCTACTGCTATAGTGCAAGGTTCTACCTAGACGTGGTCCCCACTATGGCAGACCTGACAGTGTGTGTGACCAATATCAACCTTAAACACTTATTTAAAAACAGGAAACTATTACCAGTTCATATGAGACCCTGAATGACATTAGTCATAGGGTAACCTACACTGTAGTTGAGAAATGTTGTCTATATGTTGTCCTGAGAGTCCACTGCTATAGTGGAAGGTCCTCCTTAGATGTGGTCCCCACTATGCTAAACATGACAGTGGGTGTAACCAAAACCATTCCAACCTTTCTATCCTGAGATGGTCCCCACAATGCGAAACCCGAGAGCATGTGTAACTAATACCTTCTGACCAACTAATACAAGTACACCAATGCATTAACTACACACTGTAATGCAAATACGTCAAATCAGTATATGGACATAAAAACACTTTTTAAAACACCTTTAAGTCTGAAGAGAAAGCTCCAGCGTTGGTCAGAGGACCTGAAGCTGAGTGCCTTGGTTTAACCACATACATCATGTTAGCAGTACCCTCACCTCCAGGCTACAGGGATTTCAAATATCACAGTTAAACATTTCAATAAATCTCAAACACAAGTACATCATTACTGAAAATGTAGTACAGAATTTCAAACCATGTTTTATCAGTGTCTGCTGCTTCAAGTTAACCAGACATTGATCCACCATTTTATAGAAAAGAGTGTAAATGACATGAATCTAAACATGAATAAAAAATTCATATTACACCTCTAATGGGATTAATTATGAGAGGACAAACTGCTGTTGAGAACAATAGACCATATATTCAGGTTGACTAGAAGTGGTCCCCACTATACTAAACCTGACAGTGTGTGTAACCAGTATCAACCTTACAGACTTGTGTACAAAGAGGAAACTATTAAAAATTCATTTCAGACATTGAATGACACTGGTCATGAGGTCATTTAAACTGTAATTCAGAAATAAAGTCTACATATTGTACTGTGAGTCTAATGCTCTACTGGAGGTTTCTACCTAGACGTGGTCCCCACTATGGCAGACCTGACAGTGTGTGTGACCAATATCAACCTTAAACACTTGTATAAAAACAGGAAACTATTACCAGTTTATATGAGACCCTGAATGACATTAATCATTGGGTAACCTACACTGTAGTTGAGAAATGTTGTCTATATGTTGTCCTGAGAGTCCACTGCTATAGTGGAAGGTTCTCCTTAGATGTGGTCCCCACTATGCTAAACATGACAGAGGGTGTAACCAAAACCATTCAAACATTTCTATCCTGAGATGGTCCCCACAATGCGAGACCTGAGAGCATGTGTAACTAATACTATCCCTAAGGCCTCACTTAAAAACAATTAACTCTCACAAATTTATACCAGACAACAAATGAAATCAGTCCTGAAGTAAATTTAATTGACCATAATTAGTTACAGAACTACCAAGTAGTTCACTATATGGACATAACACTTTTTTTAAATACCTTTAAGTCAGAAGAAGAAGCTCCAGAGTTGGTCACAGGACTTGAAGCTGAGCGGCTTGGTTCAACCACATCCATCATGTTAGCAGAGTCCTCACATGCAGGCTACAGGGATTTCAAATATCACAGTTAAATATTTAGAATTGAACATGCAAAAGAAATGAGGCTGTCCCAGGCTACACCACATAGTGTACATGTAATGCAAACTACACAGTCTACACATCACAACTCACAACTACCTAATATGACAATAACATAGACCAAAAATAGACAGCAGCCCTTTGTCACACCTTTGTATAGGGGTGACCGGTACGGTACGCAGCCCAGGGAAAAGGAAAGAGGGCTGGAAAAAACAAAAGAGAGAAATTGCCCCTACTACTACTTAAAAACCACAAGAAGGCTTGAGCTACAAACGGCTCCAAGCCATATAAAAGGTATTTGCTCCACTAAGAGCACACAAGTGAAACATAAAGCTGATCTTCCTTTCATAATCACAGATTAAGCACGCTTTGTTTAAGCACGTGCTAACTCCACAGACTGCTGATCAGTACATCAGCGGTTCAAGCCTGGCTCTGGGTCACCTCAACTCCAACGTACCAAATTCACTCTCCGTTGCCTTAATAAATTTATTTAACACCCTTTCTCATGGGTCCACCTCCCTGCAGCAGCTGACCCTTCTGGTCAGGGCACAGACTGTGGGGGGTTCAGCCTGCCACTGCTGCTCCTACTCCAGCTCCCATTCCACCCCCCTTGCTGATCAGAGCCCCATCTGGGGGGGTGCTCTGGTGGCCAATCCAGAAGGGTATGCTGGGGACCCAGAGACCTGTAGAGGGTTTCTGTTGCAGTGCTCTCTGGTGTTTGAGCAGCAACCCTACTGGTTCCGCACAGAGAGGTCCAAAGTGGCTTATATGATCTCAGTATTAACCATAGGACTTTGGCTTGGGCCACGCTGTGGGAGCAGAACTTTCCTGACTATGACACAGGAGAAAGTTTTGTCAAAGCCATGCGGGCAACCTTCCATAACCCTATCGGGGGTAGGGAGACCACACCCTGCTTCCTGGCCCTCTCCCAAGGAGCCCATTCGGTGGCGGATTATGCCATTGAATTTTGTACCCTAGCCGCTGAGAGTGGTTGGAATGAGGAGCAACCTGGGAGCTGCCCTCTACGTTAGAGGGTCTCTACGATGTATGCATCCACCTTGACACCCACATGAGTCAGAGAGACTTTGACCCCTCTCCAGCCCATGGAACTGGCTAGTGCTGGCCTGCCTGATCACAGTCCTGGGCCTCAATCATTTGAGGCTAGGCGCCCTGGCAACACCAGTCGCCCATCCGGAAACACACGGGCTCACTCCGGTCAGGGGGGACCGGTGTGGGGCCAGTGTTCCTTCTCCCCCACTTCAGGGCTCTACTTGAAAGCAAAACTTTCAAGGGAGCCCTGTCAACATACCACCTTGCAGGCCTTTGTTGACTCAGGGACAGCAGAAAGCTTTCTTGAGCCACATTGGCTGCTGAGCTGGGCCTACCCATTGAGCCCCTGGAGTGTCCCCTACCAGTTATGGCCATCGAAGGCCAGTCTCTGGGTTCTGGGTCCATCAGTTATCGCACTGGGCCAGTCACTTTGCGAGTGGGACCTCATAGCACAGTGAAAACACTGTGCTGTACGTCACCCAAGCCCCCCACTTACAACTGGTCTTAGGGTTCCCTTGGTTGAGACAGCACAACCCTCGCATTGACTGGTCTACACAGTCTGTATATGCATGGGAATCCCGGTGTAACGGTCATTGCTTGGTCGATCCTGGCCCCCTACAAAGGGCATCCTCCCTCAAGGGTCCCGCCAAGCCGGACCTTTCAGGGGTCCGCAGAGACTACTGGGACCTCCAGAAGGTCTTCAGTAAAGAAAAGGCCCAGGTTCTGCTACCCCACAGGGAATTCGACTGTGCCATCAATCTGCTCCCAGGCACCACACTGCCCCGTGGCCAGTTGTTTGCGCTCTTGCCCCCTAAATGTGCTGCAATGGATGAATACATCCGAGAAGCTTTGGAGCTGGGTTTCATACGCCCATCCTCCTCTCCCGCAGGAGCAGTTTTCTTCATCAGAAAGAAGGATGTAGGCCTCCACCCCGCATCAGAAAGAAGGATGTAGGCCTCAACCCCGCATCAGAAAGAAGGATGTAGGCCTCAACCCCATTAGTCAGGAAAGTAGAGTAAACAGCTGCTGACAATCCAGTGCCGGGACCAGGCCGCAGATAGACAGGCTAAACCGACTGTCTGCGAACCGCCTCGAGGCGTCACCTAGGTTCCACTGTATTGAGACTGTGTCTTTACCCCGAATTAAATCAAAATCTAAACGTAGAAAAACTCAATCAGCCTGTTTCAACAACCTAATCAATATTAAATCATATTTAGATGATAGCAGCAACACCTCAGTTCTAAAATTTGGGTTATTCAGTATAAGATCACTAAACTTAAAAGCAGTCATCGTAAAAGAAATTATAAGTGATTATAAATTTGACGTTTTCTGTCTCACTGAAACATGGGTTAGACAGGATGAATATTCAGCACTAAATGAAGCCACTCCTACAGGCTATAATTATGTACACAGCCCAAGATTATCAGGCAAAGGAGGGGGATTATGTGTAATCTACCAGAATACCCTAGATATCAGTCAGAAACAATGTGACACCTTCACTTCTTTTGAGGTTCTTTCCATCAACATTACAAATCCGGCCACAAAAAAGAACACATTTTCATTATTTAACATTTACAGACCACCAGGGCCCTACACAGAATTTCTAAAAGAATTTAGTGACTTCGCTACTAACCTAGCTGTGTGCAATGATATAAAGTAATAATTGTAGGAGATTTTACCCATGTACCCAAAGCTTTTAAACTAGCAGTTATTAAAACTCTGATCAAGAAACCAAACCTTGACGCTGCGTATTGTCTAATTGCAGGCCCATTTCTAACCTACCATTTATATCTAAGATCTTAGAAAAAGCTGTAGCCCAGCAACTTAGTTCATATCTACATAAGAACCACATTTATGAAAAATTGCAATCTGGATTCAGGCCACATCACAGCACTGAGACAGCTCTAGTTAAGATAACAAATGATCTTCTTGTCTCTGATCAAGGCTACATATCCCTGTTGGTGCTACTTGACCTCAGCGCAGCTTTCGATACGATAGACCACAATATTCTCCTAGAAAGGCTAGAAAACATGGTTGGAATCACAGGGACCGCCCTATCGTGGTTCAAATCTTACTTAACGGAACGTTATCAGTTCGTACAGGTAAATGATTCATCTTCCAATTATTCACAAGTAAGATCTGGAATTCCGCAAGGTTCTATTTTAGGACCATTATTATTTACATTATACATGTTACCGTTAGGCACAGTTATAAGTAACCATGGCATTAACTTTCACTGTTACGCAGACGATACGCAACTGTACATATCAGCCAAGTTGTTGCGTAACTTCCTCCTTCTAAACAGTAACAAAACAGAGGTTCTCCTTCTGGGTCCAAAAGTGGCAAGAAAGAAATTAGCAGATTTAATTTTAAATCTCACTGACTTTCCAGTTATACCTGGTTCAGCAGCAAAAAATCTTGCCTTTATTACTTCAAGGCTGGACTATTGTAACGCACTACTGTCAGGATGCACCAGCAGGAATTTAAGTAAACTTAAACTAGTTCAAAATGCTGCAGCCAGGGTTCTCACTAAAACTAGAACATTTGATCATATCAGTCCAGTTCTATCATCACTTCATTGGCTGCCTGTTAAATTCCGTATTGATTTCAAAATTCTTTTATTGACGTATAAAGCCCTACATGGGCTCCTGAGTACCTGCAAGACCTCATTTCCCGTTACGAGCCACCACGATTACTCAGATCACAGAGTGCTGGCTTTTTAATAGTTCCCAGAATTCAGAAGGTTTCATCTGGGGGAAGAGCCTTTTCTTATAAAGCCCCCAAACTCTGGAATGATCTTCCAGAAAATGTTCGGGACTCAGACTCAGTCGCGATATTCAAATCTAGGCTGAAAACTCACTTGTTTAGTTTAGCTTTTGGTAGTTAATGTTCCCCCTTAGATAAAGGCAGCAGATCCAGGGGTCCATGGACGCAGGGAATTATAGTAAACTGAGACGCTGGTGCTGTCGTCCTGCCACTCGCACGCCATCACTCAGGTTTGTGGACGGTGGAGCGGAGGGATGCCAAATTGTTTCAGGGTGCTCCCGTGTCTGTGGGCCCTTTTGGTTCTCTCATTTCAGTTAAGCTGTTATAGTCAGATCTGCCGGAGTCGTTAGCCACACTCTGGAAATGTTTTACATATTATTATACATACACTCAAACAGAACTAAACTAACTCCATCTCCCTACCTTTTTTCCGAGTAAACGACTGCCCACCTGTCCGGCCGGACACTGATGGATGATTGTCTGTCGAGCTCTCCTGTTACCCGCTTCTCTCCTGCTACCCCCTTCAGACCAGCTGCCCCTGCCCCAGCTACCGCCACCTGCCTTGGACTAGCTGCCCACTCTACACTGAAGTGGACTCCTAACTATTACTACTACTACAATTATTAATATTAGTAGTATAATAATTTTGTAGGTAGTTTGACCAGAGGAGGATGGGTCCCCCCTTGTGAGCCTTGGTTCCTCCCAAGGTTTCTTCCTCAGCTCTGAGGGAGTTTTTCCTTGCCACTGTCGCCACTGGCTTGCTCACTTGGAGGATTTACATTTCATGTTAAAACTTTGTCTTTACTGGAATTCTGTGAAGCTGCTTTGTGACAACATCAGTTGAAAAAAACCCTATACAAATAAATTTGATTTGATTTGATGACCATGGTCTCAACGCCATCACCATAAAAGACCACCACCCCCTGCCCCTCATGTCAACAGTGTCTGAGGCACTGCAGCAAGCCGCAATATTCACTAAGCTGGACTTGCACAGTGCTTACAACCTTATCCACATTAGGGAGGGTGATGAATGGAAGATGAATGTAAGAAGCACCCATTCATCAACCCTACTGGGCATTATGAGTACTGGGTAATGCTCTTTGGGCTAATGAATGCTTGGGCAGTCTTCCAGCACTTCATTAAAGTTCTCAGAGAGGCCCAGGGTCATTATGCTTATGTCTACCTCGATGACATACTCATTTACAGTCCCTCCAGGAACATGTCGGCCATGTCAGGTCGATCCTGCAGCTATAGCTGGAGAACTGCCTATACTTTAAGATGGAGAAGTCGGTGTTCCATGTCTCTACGATATCCTTTTTGGGCTTTGTGGTGTCCAAGGGCACCCTCCGCATGGACCTGGCCAAGATCAGAGCCGTGGTGGACTGGGATCCTACCTCCCTCCAGTTGGTCCAGCGTTTCCAGGGGTTTGCCAACTTCTTCCGACGCTATGTGAGGAACTTCAGTTCTGTGGCAGTTCCCCTCACCGCCCTTACCCAGAAGACTCCAGGGCCCTTTTGTTGGACCATCGAAGCCCAAAGGGCTTTCAAGGAGATCAAGGCACGGTTAACACCCCCCGGTCCTCCAGCTGCCTGACCTGGAGGAACCGTTTGTCATCAAGGTAGATGCTTTGGAAGTTGCTGTGGGAGTGGTACTCTCCCAACGCCTAGGTCTGGCCAAGAATCTCCACTTGTGTGCATTCTTCTCCCACTGTCCTACCCCAGCTGAATGCAACTACGATGTTGGAGACAGGGAACTTCTGGCCGTAAAGCTCACCCTGGAGGAATGGAGGCACTGAGGGGTCTAAACATCCCTTTGTTTTCTGGACTGACCACAAGAACCTGGCCTATATCCAACAGGCAAAGCGACTCAACCCTCGCCAAGCCTGATGGGCACTGTTCTTTAGTCGCTTTGATTTCCTGCTGTCTTATAGGCCAGGCTCTAAGAACACCAAGCCAGATGCCCTGTCCAGACAGTGGGCATCTCCGGGGCCTGACCCCTCCCCGGAACCCATCATTCCCGCTACTCGGATCTTGGCCCCACTCCGTTGGGAGCTGGAGACCGCCATCAGGGAGGCCCTACGGCAGGAGCCTGATCCTGGAGGCAGCCCCCCTGGTAAGCTGTACGAGTCTGCAGTTGTGCGGCCACGGGTGCTGCTATGGGTGCACGCCTCCCCATTTTCAGGTAACCCAGGGGTGACTAGGACCCTGGACTTTTTGCGCAGGCAGTTTTGGTAGCCTAGTATGGAGAGAGACATCCGTGCCTTTATTGCGTCTTGCGAAACATGTGCACGCTGCAAGGCAACCTGGTCACAGCCCCAAGGTCTCCTTCACCTGCTGCCCATCCCTGCTCATCCATGGCCATGTCTCTCTGGACTTTGTCACAGGCCTACCCCACTCCAAAGGCAACATGGTCACCCTGGTCCTTGTGGACTGCTTCTCCAAGGCATGCAAGTTTGTGGCACTGCCCAACCAAGGAGACAGCGGAGCTTCTATTATAGTACGTGGTCTGGGTTCACGGGATGCCTAGTGATCTGGTGTCTGACCGGGGTCCCCAGTTCACTAGTCATTTTTGGAAGGCCTTCTACTGGCTCATGGGAGCCTCTGTGAGTCTCTTCTCCGGCTTCCACCCAGAGTCCATTGGCCAGACCGAGAGGGTCAATCAAGACCTTGCCCGGACTCTGTGGCGCTTCACCTCCACCAACTCCTCCTCTTGGGCGGAGTATCTGCCCTGGGCAGAATATGCCCATAACACCCTCCAGCATTTGTCCCTGGGCATGTCACCCTTTGAATGCCAGTTTGAACATAGTACAGCTGCAAAGGGGGCCTTAAGAAAACTCTCAACCTCCTAAGCCAGAGGTTGGGTAATAATAAAAAATTCCCAGTGCCTCGGATGTGCCCCTGTGAAAACTGCCCCAACCATGGTCATCATTCAAAAATAAACTAAAACAAAAAAAACGGCTATGATGTTATACCTAACAGGGAAAAAGGCATCTAACAGAAAAAAATGAACCAAACTGGCACATAAACAAAACCAAACTAATTGTATGAGCCTTACGCTAACAGGGAACAACTTCACATCACTTACCCCTCAAAAATACTAAAATTTTTTTTTAGTATATGGTAAAGCCTCAGCAAAATCCCAGCATAAGCACGAACTAGCCAGGAAAAAAAAACACAGCCAAAACAAAGAAATCATTATTGGATGAGCCCCCACGGACCAGTTTTCAATCAGTTCAGAACAAACAATTGAGGGAAACGATGAGTAGAAGTTGCAGCAAAAACTTGTCTTTATTTTCTCATTAAGGTATTTAAAAACGGTTTGCAAACCACAAAGTTAGCACTACTGAACTGAGCCAGCCACTAATGTTCAAAGCCAACTTGCTGGAGCCCCACCAGCATTAGCCCTAAGAGAGCTTGATGGATCAACCTGCGGAAGAGAGTGACAAAGAAAAAAGGCCCAAAAGACGAAACCCCTACTCGCTGCTGTGCCTCAGTAGCCAATTATGTCCAAACTCTGCCTCCCAATTTCACCTGCAATACACTCAGGGCAAACGTCACCACGAGGCCATCATGAATGCTGAAATTTATGTAGAAAGCATTTTATGAATGATTTACACACATATTGGTTATGCGTGTGTTTCATAAATGAGGTCCGTTGCTGTGCACAGCTTGATATTTCCTGATTTCAATCTCACAAGTTGCTTCAAACTCTTACCTGGAAGTGAGTTGAGATGAGGAGCAGTCTTCATCAACATCAGACAGCGAGCAAGACTGACAGCTGCACAAATGACGACCTCATTGGGGAGCCCTGTAGATTAATGACAAACAAATTTTACAACTTTCAAACATAAAGTAAGAGAGTCATTAGTTTATGCACAAGATGGCTAACAATAGGTTGACTCTGGATGTAGGTTGTATTTTATTGGTTAGGAACTGCCTTTCCTCTAAAATCAGGTTTTATATAGCCTACACATAGTAGCTATATCCATGGAATAAACTAATTTCAGTTTAACCATGTATATTTTTGGCATTTTGTGATTTTAAAAAAAGAAATCTTAAACTTACCCTCTGCTGACCACAGCACAAAACCAATGAACATGCAAATGTTTGGACAAAAGGCCAGTACAATATGCATGATCATGATAAGTCTGGTTGTAGCTAAAGAGGAACAAAAAATCAATTTAATATGTATCTTTTAAATTAATTCATGGATACATTTAAGACACTCTTATTGTTAATGAACAGGTTTTTCAAAGTTCCAGCTCCCCTCTAATTAATCTGAATTGTATAAGCAAAATTTAATGAAATGGGACTCAAAATCTACACCAAAACATCTAATTGAGTTTATAAGACCTAAGATGATAAGAAACATGATGAATACTTCAGGACACTCTGTACCTTGTTTGTGTAGAAAGATAAAAAACAGGAACTCCGAGTCCGACAGCGAGTGTTAATGAAGTGAAACACATCACAAGGATACATATCTGGACAGAAGAGAAACCTTTAAAAGAAAACACAGCAGCAGTTAAAAATGCAGTTATTATTATTATTATTATTACAAACCTCTTTAGGATGACAACCCACTCATCACAGATAGCTTCATGCCATTTAATAGTAAAATTATGTCTTAGACACAGGGACATGTTATTTATAGTAATCATAGGTAAGGGTATAATCAGTTTTTGAACATTACTGCTTGTGTAATTCATATATACTTTCATTTACATCTTTTTTAACAGTTCACTTCAGTGAAAATGTAATGAATAAAATGAAAGTGTTATAGTTAAGGCCCCACTGTTACCTATTCGCTGGATGATCACTGTGGTCTGTCCTGAAGGGTCAGCAGTGTGGACTTCACAGATGAATTCTCCTTTATCTTCCATCCTAACGTCCTTCAGCCTCAGTGAGAAGTTTCCTCGAGGGATTTCAGTCGTGAAGAACTCGGCTCGTTCTCGATAGCTCTCGTGAGAAAACTCTGAGAAGGTCTGGTTTTCTTGAAAGAGCAGAACTGGGATGTCTGGGTGTTTTTTCCAGGTCACTTCCTCCAGCTGGTGGACTGGAATCTGTGAGTCTACAGAGCAGCTCAGTATCACCTCCTCACCCACTGAGGTGAAGATGGGGTGGAGCGCTCCCCTCACCACCAACCGCTCTGGAACAGTTCAGAGAAAGAAGGTAGATAAAAACGTATCAGCTCAGATGGAGTTCAAGTTTCCATGACACAGTAAGGGTAACAAAAGTATAAGTATAAAATAATATAGGTAAAGACTGTGGGGCAGATTCAAGAGCGCTAACATGCAAACTATGCACCATGGTAAATAAGAGCTATTCATAAGTCACCAATGTGGTGATTAGTGCACCAGTGTCTTTTTAATGCTGCAGCATTTTCACCTGTGTCCCAGGCAAGAGTTAATTAAAATACACATGTAAATGAGGTCATACATATTAAGGACCCACACCAAGTGAAGCTCAGATTGGCTGCAAAAAATGGACAGGATGAAAGAAAATAAATAAATAAAATTAAAATGAAATCAATATTCTTAGAAACATAACTACAAATTTTAAGTGCTGACAAATACATGAATTTATGAAATAACTGACATTTGGAAAGAAGGACCATGCCTGAAACCCCTCCTCCTTCATGTAATACCCTATAAATTCCCATCTCTACCTTTTTGTTTTCCGTGATTAATTTTTCACAATCAGCTGTGAGACACTAACTGTGGAGGTGAGGAGGCGGGACACAAGTGTGAGTTGCATTTATTCAAATCTGATTTAACAGAGTCCAGAATTTGAGTAGTAGATGGTGGTAGAACAGACATGATGAAACAAAGCTGAACAACCAGATCAAAGAAAACAAGTGACAGGGTAACATCCACAATGCAAGACAGAGACTGAACAAACACAGGGGTATAAATACACTGAGGGGGAAATGAGAAACACCTGGGACTAAAGAGGGGGAGGAGCTACAGACAGGTGGAGCAGATAACAAGGGGGCAGGAACAGGGAGGAGACAGAACAACAATAAAAGCACATGGCACAAGAAAACAAAAGGCACATGGCTGCCATAGTGGGGAAGAAACAGACACACTCAGAGGGACAAAGGGGAATCTGGGAATCCGTGATGCCAGTCAGGGTTGGGATAGCTACTGAAAAATTAGTACTACTACAACTTTGTAGCTACTTTCCCAAATTTTGTAGCTGCTACAATCATGTTCCAGAAAGAAACATACAATTCAAAAGCTGCAAATATACAAGATCACCAAAAAGTAAGTTTAAGTGTAACCAACATCAAACTTACACAGCCAAAGGCGTGATATCCAAGAAAATGTAGACTAAAGCCAAAGTCAATCATTCCTGGTTTTTACTAACAAAAATCAACAAAAAAGCATTGTCAACTGTTGAAATAAAACTGCTCCAATTTAAACATTTCAGCGAGATACTGACATTCAGAGTCCTTTAAACTTCAACACTTTAGCCTCAAAATTCTAATCAGTGGCCTTGGCTCTGCGAAGTACTCCTAGCTACGAAATAGAAAAGAGAAAGATGTAAGATGAACATCGATAATTCGGAGGTGAAGGAACTTTTTTTTTTTTTATAATCACTCCAGTTGGTTTCCTGATACGTTTAATCTGCTTCAAGAAACTGTCAAACACTAAAAACTTCAGCCTCATAAAAAGCAGAACATTTTAAAAGAAACTTTACTTATGCGGAAAGTGAAAAGCGACTACAGCTGACCTAAAGGTTAAAGCAGAGCAAAGTAAGTCTGTGTTTTTGTTTATATTATATTTTTAGCCTGTACTAGTACATTAACACACACTGAGACATACTTACAGCCAAGATGGTAAAACGGACACAAAGTGTTGTGGCTCCCAAGGTGGTTTCATTTTTATTGAAAGGACAAAATGGCTAACCCTACTAGTGAGGGGTGGTCAGCGCATGACCATTTGCTCGAACTGTCCGTGGCTCAGTCAGGATTGCACAGTCGCTACCAGCCCAGTTAACAACTGCGTTCTGTGGTTCAGATTTTGCGTGGATTAACCGAAGCCTGTAGCGAAATTGTAGTGAAAATTATCACTATAGCTACACAAACATTTGTAGGTGCTACAGCTGTTAGCTACATTTCAAAAAACATTTGTAGTTAGCTACAAAAAAGTAGTGCGCTACTTAGCTACTCCCCCATTTTTTCCCTCCTTTTGTCTACCAATTCTACCCATCCCTCCTCTCTTCATCTTCTCTCTACATTCCTCCCTCTCTTTCTCTCTCCTTTCATCACCCTCTTCATCCCTCATCCTGCCCCCTCCATCCATCCTACCTCCTCATTCCAGGTTTCCTGCTCCTCAGCTGCTGCCACCAACCCAATCCCCATCCGCCCCATTGCCCCCTCAAACTGGACTACCATTGGTTAATTTGTGAAGATGCTACATGTGCCCTGGGAACCTGCTGCTGTGATTTCAGCATTCAGTCCTCACTCCATGGGAGCAGTGTCTATTCTCCATTACTGGCCATTTGGTAGTGATCCTCATCCACTATCATAACTGAACAACAATTCTGTTGCCAACAGGATGTCCCACGCCAAACTTCCTCCTGCAGTGACTACAGCATCATCCGCCCATCAACTCCCATACACAGCCACTACCTTCTAACAGCCATTCCTGCTCCACGTACATTACGTTCAGGTTCCTCTTGAGGTCTCTTCTTCACACCCCTGGGAGTTTTTCCTTTTCACTGTTGCCCTCAGCTTCCTCATCAGGGGTTCCAAACTCTGCTGTCAGTTAAGCAGCTCACAGCAATGTAACCTTCAAGCTACTGAAGTGAATAAAATTAATCTGCTCCATCTTTCCTTTCATCCTACAAATCTTAAGTGCAACACACTGCCTTCACCAAATGCCATACAGAGGGCCAACCTAAGTAGACTAGCACACTATGCCTAACTCAAATACCCAAATGCTCCACCATCTGACCAAACCCACATTCTGAATCCAGTTCCTTAATATCCCACTGAAATAAACTCATAGCAAGTTCTCTACCCAACTGCTACAGTTCTCATGTCACTTCAACATCGGCCCCTGCGGGACAGAGAGTTTAGGACCAAAACCATTTAACTTTCAATCAAAAACAAATATATATATATAATTTCTTAAAATTTGACTTTTATGTGTACAAATAATGTTTTAGCATATAAGACTTCATTTCTCATTCGTAAGAATTTAAGCCTTTTTCCAGCTCATTGTAATTGCAATAACAATGGATCAGTAAAGACTGTTGGGGTAGGTTGCATGAAGATCATTGCAGTGGGATGGGTAAAGACTGTTGAGGTGGGCTTGGTAAAGACCACTGGGCTGGGTTGTGTTAAAACTTGTTTGAGTTGTTTAAAGACTGTGTTGGAGAGACTTTGGTAAGGTCTCTTTAGTAGTGATTTGAGAATTTGCATTTTTTTTTAGGTGGGTTTGGTAAAGATTGGAGTGGGTTGGGTATAGACTGTTGTGGTGATTTGGGTCAATACTTGTAGATAGATAGATAGATAGATAGATAGATAGATAGACAGATAGATAGATAGACAGAGAGATAGATAGATAGATAGATAGATAGATAGATAGATAGATAGATAGTTCATTGATCCCAAAGGAAATTTAGCAGCCAGTAGCAATCACACATCACAGTACAGTAATAATAATAAGAGTAAAACAATATAAAAGGAAAAATAAATATGAAAAATCCCATCTACAAGCATATATGCAAATAGAAATATACAAAAATCTCGAATACAATCTATAACCTGAGATGAGAAAGGCAGTGCAATAATGACTGTACAAGGAGGCGCAGGTAACAGCATATAATGACAATACTGAATAAATATGTGCAGATATTGGTACCGAAATAAAGTGTCTAGGTGTGGAGTGTCCAGATGTGCGATAGGGGGTACAGAAAGTGCAATATGTACAGTAAGGTGTCCACATGTGCAGATGGATAAAATAAAACTATGATTTAGCATGAGATTCAGATTCAGTCCTCATCTCTCCTCTTCTCTCTTTTCTTCTTCTTCTGGCCCCACTGGGAAGAGTAATCTCCTGATCTCCTGAGTCTGTCGGTTGAGCAGCTCTGTGACAGCAACCTGCCACTAAACATGCTCCTCCTGTCCATGATGGTGGTGTGCAGCGGGTGGCCATCATCCATAATGGAGATGGTTGCGTGTATGATGTCACATGCTGTCTCAGCATCCACATGAGGAGGAACATAAATACAAACAACAATGGTGTGGGACAGTTCCCTGGGCATGTAATAGGGTTGGAGACTCCTTGCCAGTAGTTCAATATCCCAACAGCAGATTATCTCCTTCACAGTCACATGTCCTGGGTTGCACCATCTGATGTTCACAAAAAGCACTAGTCCCCCACCTTTGCTTTTGCCGCTTAGTTTCGCGTCCCTGTCCACTCTCACAGTGGTGAATCCGGGAATGTCCACATTAGCATCGGGAATGTTGCCGGTTAGCCACGTTTCCGTGAGATAAAAGACTACATTCCTTGTATAACCGCTGATTACGAACCACTGCCACTAGTTTGTCTGTCTTGTTGGCCAAAGATTTCACATTTCTCCTCCAGTAAAGGAATAGATGGTTTATACCTCTAGCGTTTCTCCATGCACCACCAAGCCTATTCTGTCAATAATAAACTCTTCTCTTAGCCTTGAACCTTGATCTCAACCAAGCTTCAGCTAGTCCAGAACGCTGCAGCCAGAGTTCTTACTAGAACCAGAAAGTTTGACCAAATCAGCCCAGTTTTATCAACCTTACACTGGTTACCAGTTAAATTTCACATTGATTATAAAATTCTCTTACTGACCTATGAAGCACTAAACGGACTCGCCCCTCTGTACCTGAGTGAACTTCTCTCTCACTATGAACCATCACGCCTACTTAGATCACAAGGTGCTGCTCACTATTAGTACCTAGAATTAATAAAGTTACGTCAGGGGGGAATGCTGATTTCCTTGTAAAGCTGCTTTGTGACAACACCTGTTGTAAAAAGCGCTATATAAATAAACTTTGCTTGCTTGCCTGCTTACTTAGCCTTTAGCTTAGCGCCAGCTCTGCAACCCCGATAGCTCCTCCGCAGCTCCTCCGGAATGGGGTGCATTGTGCTGGCGCGACCCTGTTGTTTGGAGCGCTAGCAGCTCTTCCCTTGTGTAAACAAAGTTATTTCTACTCGTACGCATGAAAACAGGTTCCATGTCCTTAGTACATACAAAACAGTCACTAAGGTAGCAATTTAAGCGTACAGAAAAAAGAAAAAGTGAGGAAAAAGTGCAAAAACAGTACACAAAAGACAGAGATACTGGAAAGGCTGCCACTCACAGTGGCGCCAGAAGACGAAAAACTTGTATTAAGTTGGATAAAGATTATGTTGGAATGGGATGAGTAAAGACTGTTGGGGAGAATTTTGCAAAGATTGTGTTGGGGTGGGTTGGGAAAATACTGATTGTGTTGGGGTGGGTTGGGTAAAAATTGAGTTGTGTTGCCGATTAGTTAGGTAAAAACTATGTATTGGCTGGGTTGATCAATGAACTTTACAGTAACATACTGTAGCAGATTTTTCTGATCTATTAGGTGCTTTTACACAATATTACCATTTGGCAAAGTCTTAGACAATAAGAAAATTACAATAATCCTGAAATTGCTCAAATTATAATAAATGTAACAGTTTTTTTTTTTACCACACACTTGTTTCCAAAGCAGCTTACAGTAAACATCATCACTTTAAGAGCACCACAAGGAAATCAAACCATGACATCATTGCTGATAATACAATTCTTAGCCACCCGCTCCACCAGTTGAGCTACAGGAGCAAGTTAAAATTCTGATTGGCCGAGAGATATAAGACCTCAACATATTCTGACCTTTAAGCACTCATTCTCAAGTATTATTGCATTCATTCTTTCACAGGAACAATGCTGGTCTGGTCTTTCGGCAGTTATAATGATCAACATCATTTCCTCATAGTAAACCAACTAAAACAGACTCCTGCTGATGCTGGTCTATTGTTGGCAGCATGAGCGTTTTTCAACAGAGCAGAGAGGGAACAGAGAGGGGGGAGGAACGAGCAGCAGCATGAGAAGAGGGCTGGCTTTGGTGTGGAAAATACAGTTAAAATGGCTGCTGCAACCCTCAAACCTGTCTCCAGCATCCTTCCTGTCCCCGGGGTAGCACAGGCCATGCTACAAACATATTTAGATGGGCTTTTTGTCATAAGCATCTCTCTTTCATCTGCATGGGTTAATCATAACCTGATCATCTAAACCAGAGTTCATTGGCTTCATTTGTTAGCTTGTAATAATAATAATAAAAATAATAATAATTTTGAGAGCTGAAACTTGTTGAACATGCTTTGTGAGGCAGACCTCAGGTGTCTGTTGTGAATGCACACTACGAGGTTATCTGACTTGCCCACTGAATAATGTTACATTTGCTACATAAATAAAATTAGAATTCCCGGCACCTTCTGTTTCCAGTTTACCATGGCAAAAAACTAGATTAGGCCATTAAAGCCCATCAGAGGAAGTAGTACTAAGAAAAGATTAGTGCTAAACATGGATTAGTGGCTCTCAAGAACTAATTTGGAAACAGTGATTTTTTTCCAAATAGACTGAACTTTCGAGGTGTGTCTGCAGATTTTTTGAGGAACTGAAAGTGAGTCTCCTGAAAAGAATGGAAGCTGGAATAAAGGTAAAGAGACTCACTCGACACTATTACTATATTATATCCGTTGTGAACTCTGTGTCATTGTCTGTTAAGTGTGCGTTTGCTGTTTTGTATGATACTGAAAAATAAATAATTTGTACTTAATGGCCATTTTGACTGGAAGTTAAATTAATGAAGGGTCTTTGACTTTTATACAGTAATGTGTGTATATATATTTTAACTGGTCACTTAGAGATTAAAAGGACCATTAAAACCCACCACTGAGTTTAATCTCCACTGTGGTCTCTCTGTAGTCCTGACTGGAGGAAACTCCACACCTGTAAACTCCAGCATCTTCTGGTGTGACGTCACTGAGTAAGATGGAGAAGTTCCCTCTCGATATCTCCTCTGGGAAGAAGTCGGCTCGGCCCCTGAAGCTCTGACTCTGCAGCTCTGCTCTGATTTCTTTCTGCTGGAAAACGTTCACTACAGACTCTGAGTCTGTTCTGCTCCATTCCACTCTGAGACCCTCCAGAGGGAGGGGGTCCTGAGCAGAACACGGCAGCAGCACAGCGCCCCCCAGCGGGACCACCAGAGGACCGGAGGGGCCTTCAACATGTAGACCTGCAGCAACATCAGACAGTAAACATCATCTTATTAACTGACCACCAGGAGAAATCAAAACTGCTAGTGGTAACACTCTATAGAATAACTTTCTTTAATTACCCATTAACTGGTTATTGATAGCTATGAACAAATCAATAGTTCATCAGTAATTGAAAATCTACAAATGTTTATGAATTACAGCTCAAGTAGTTGTTATGTGAATTTATAATTACAAATGATGTACATGATATTTTCCCATACAATAATAATATATCAATCTGTCAAAACAGTTCATCACTGCATCCACAAATGCAAGTTAAAACTCTAAAACGCAAAGAAGAAACCAAATATAAACAGGATCCAGAAATGCTGCCACCTTCTCTGGGCCTGAGCTCATTTAAAACGGGCTAAAGACCACTCAGCTTGTTATCAGTGCACAGTTCAAAAGCCAGTATTCATGATGGTATAGGGAGCCATTAGTGCACATGGCATGGGTGATGTGCTCATCTGTGAAGGCATCATTAATGCTGAACTGTACTGTTCGTGAGAGGAAATCTCTGCAGAGGGTGGTGCGGACAGCACAGTCCATCACCGGGGTTCAGCTCCCTAACCTATTGGATTTATACACCAGCCGCTGCCTGAGGAAATCCAGAAGGATTATGAAGGACCCCTCCCATCCTAGTCACTGTCTGTTCTCTCAGCTGCCGAGTGGTAGGAGGCTCAGAAGCTTAAAAGCCAGAACCAGTCGGCTCAAAGACAGCTTCTTCCCCCATGCAACCAGGCTATTGAACAGCCAGTAATCACTGCTCTGCCCAGCCCAACCCTTCCCATTACACGTACGTGCACCCACTGTACTCCCGCACTTTACTTGCATAGCTGGACTTTGAATACCTATCCAAAGACAATACTCTCCCCCTGCGCTTCCACTTAACTTCCTGTACCTTGCACTTTACTAAATACTCTGCCACCTACTGTACCATCTTCTATCTCCACACCTAGTGTGATTATTTGCACATCTACATAGCATTGTAATATCCATTACTATATATAGTATATAGTTGATTACACTCACTCTACATTCCCAGTGCAATATTATATGTCTCGGTGCAATATTATTATTTTTAAGTTATTGTGTAAGATTATATGTATATATTTTAGTTAAATTGGTTTTATCTATTCTTCTATCCTATCTATAGTTTTGTTTATCTATGTGTAAATACTGTTCTCTGCATAATTTGTGGAACTCGCACTCAAGTTTTTCACTCACCTGTGTCCCTGTACTCTTGTGATGTGACAATAAATCTGATTTGATTTGATTTGATTTGAACGATATATACATGTTTTGGCAACATATGCTGCCATCCAGACAACGTCTTTTTCAGGGAAGGCCTTGATTATTTAGCAAGACAATGTCAAACCACATTCTGCATGTATTACAGCAGCATTGCTCTGTATTAAAGGAGTCCAGGCGCTAAACTGACCTGTCTGCAGTCCAGACCTGTCACCACTGATAATATTTGGCAAATTATGAAATTAAATATACGACAAAGGAGCCCCTGAACTGATCAACAGCTGAAATCCTGTATCAAACAAGAACAAGAAAACATTTCACTTTCTAAACTACAGCAGTGTCTCCTCAGTTCACAAACACTTACAGAGTGTTGTTAAAGAAGAGGTGATGAAACTCAGTGGTAAACAGGCCCCCGTCCCAACTTTTTTGGAACATGTTGTTGGCATCAAATTCAAAATGGGCAAATATTTAAAAAAACAATGCAATTTCTCAGTTTCAACATTTGATATGTTGTCTTTGTAGTAGTTTCCTTTAAAAAAACATAGTTCACATGATTTGCATATCATTGCATTCTATTTTTATTTACATTCAACTTTTTTGGAAATGGGATTGTAAAAGAAATAAACATAGTCTACAGTATTTATTTTAATGTAGTAGTTACCTTGAAGTCCAGCAGCCAGAAGCAGTACAAAAAACAACAAATCCATTTTACCTGCAATATATAAAAGTTAGGATATAAAATATAATTGATTAAAGATAAATACGTAGTCAAAAACAGCTGAAATGTACACAGACATAAACTTACATGTTTCACTCTCTGGCTGGTGCTGTCAGACTGTTTCTTGAATGACTGGTATGAGGAAAAATGTATCATGAATCATGGGTGTCATCATGAAAGAAAGATCAGAAATTGTTTGTATGTTTATATGTAATTGTGAGTTTGCTACATTTGCTGTTCACTTGATTATATATTTAAAATTTCCAGCTATTTTTATTTTACTTATTATTATTTAGTTTCCTGTCAAATATCTATCACAACACAGAGTAATTTAGGCATGAAAGCTATTCATTATATATGTATAAAAAAACTAGATCATTGTTTTTTGCTCTGCTGCTTACTATAAACGTAACTGTAACTGCAAAATTGATGTTTTTATAAAGAAAAGCTTCTGGATCATAGATAGTAAAAGCAGGACAGGCTTAAGTGATTGGCGCTTGCAGTACACAGAGTTTGAAAACTTGGCACCAGGTCCAGGAACCAACCGGCAGTGACCTGATTTACCCCAACATATCTGACTCAACCGGTTTAACTACAATCCCGCAAAGCAACAGGACGATGGAAAGACACAAGTTCCATTCGAGGAATCAGAAACAAGGTGAGAGTATTGAGTCATTCATCAGTGATTTGAGGATCAAAGCTAAAAGCTGCGATTTTGGAGACTTGACTGTTGAGTTTATTTGTGACCGGATTGTGTGTGGTATTACCAGTGACTCCCTAAGAAAAATCAAAAGTTAAAACCACAGTCATTCTCGGCTCATATCACTGCAGCAGGTCACATAAATACGCTGCTCTTGACCATTAAGACATTTATAGAGCAGCAACAGCTCCTTACAGTCTGTTCTGAACAGGCTGGCAGTGTAAGTGTTTAAGAATGGGGGGGGGGCTTCTTTTACTCATAGTGAGACTCTGGCAGCTGCATTCTGAACCAGCTCAACCTGTTTGTCTTTTTTGGGGGTCCAGCAGTTAGGAGACCATTACAATGATCAATCCTGCTAGAAATAAAGGTGTGGATGAGGTTCTCCAGATCTCTGATCTTGTTGTTCTTAAGGTGATAAAAGCTGATTCAGTAACCATTTTGACTTGACTGCTAAAAAATTAGATCATAGTCTATTAGTGAACCAAGGTTACATACGACTTCTTTAGATTTTAGGGCACTTGAATCCAGATGGGCAGCTAGTTTGTGCCTCTCATTCCCAAATAAAATAATCTCTGTTTTATCTTTATTCAACTGCAGACGATTTTGTTCCATCCAGTTCGTGATGAGCTCAAGGCACAAGTAGATCTGAGAATCATCTGCATAGCTGGGGTAAGATATGCTATAGTCTTGTAGTCTTCAGCCAAGAGGCAGCATGTATAAATTAAATTTTAAATAAGAGTGGCCCAAGAATTGAACCCTGGGGGACACCACAAGTCACTGGCACTCTCTCAGAAACATTATTTTCTATTGCAGCAAAGGTATCTTGCAGGTATGAACTGAACCATTTTAGACAGTTCCTGAGAGCCCAACCCAGTTCTCAAGTCTATCTATGAGAATTCTATGGTCAATGGTATCAAAGGCAGCGCTGAGATTGAGCAATAATAGAACAGATATTTTTTCCAGAGTCTGTATTTAAATGATTGTTATTAATAACCTCAAATACAGCCATGTCAGTGCTTTGAGAGCCAACTAAACCCAATAAAACCCAGTTGTTCAGTAATTAAAGTATTTAATTCAAACATTAAATTATTCTATAAATTAATTGTACTAATAGCACTAAAATTGACCACTTTTAATTTATTTTATCACCTCCTGCTCAGTTGCACAGCATTATGTTGCTCTTTCACTTTGCACATTTTGCAACTTGCACTTTACTCCCAACAATGCCATGTGTACACTGCACTTTTCAAATCTTCATTGTGTTTATAGTGTATATTTAATAGATGGATATTTTGTTATATTTTTTTCCCACAATATTGTTCTTTTATTTGACTGCTGTTTCTTATTACCTTATTGCTTCATGTGAGCAGGAAGTTATCCAAGCATCTCACTGCTAGTTGTACCGTGTGTGACAAGTATATGACAAATAAAACTTTGAAACTTTGAAACTTGAAATATAAGTAACATATAGTTCCATTTAAGTGTGGACACATATAAAGTTAAAGTTTAGGGAGTTAAGTGTTAAATTTAGAGATTAAGGGAGAAAATCAGATTTTAACGTGTTTAAATTTTAACATAAGGATGTTATTTTTGTGTAAATTCTCTTTCTTTGTCTGTAACAGAATAAAGAGTAACTTTGAAGCTGGAGGGGAAGCAGATCTTCAGGTAGGACGTGTGAAACATGGATTGTGTCTGTAATAAATAAATGTGTTGATGGTGGGGTCAGTCTGAGTGGACTGTTCTGTGGTCAGGTTGGTGAAGATGGTGAAGAAATGGAGGTTCCGTCCTCTCTGTCTAAAAGTCCTGAGTGCTGAGGTAACCACTCTGATATGAGGAGGAGATTTTCACTGTTTAATGATGAAGATGATGATGATGATGATGGTGATGATGATGTGTTATTTATTCTACAGAATCGTTCAGTAATGTAGAAGAACGTGTTCCACTGCTGGTCAAACAGTTCAGAATCATTGCAAACTGTTAAATCAGTTTGTTCGAATCAACATCACAGTAATAAAATAACAAACCCAGCTAATAGAAAACAGCATCTAAATTTTTTTTTCCATTTTTTTGTGACTTGAAGAGAAGGATAACGGCTAAACTGGAGCTTGAACCGACCAATTACTTAATCCTCAAGTTCATTACCAGAGTAACATTACTGAAATCCACCACATTTGTGGTGATGGCTGAATTACAAGGAGAAGGAAAGTTAAATATTTCAAAAGCACCTCCCTCAAGGTAAAGCATGTTCAGTCAAAGGCAACTTTAATGGAAGGACATTTGTACCACAATTCAGTATATATTCCCTCTGTACGCTATGATTCTGTGCCATCATTTGGACCATATTTGCCATTTAGTTGCACAGCATGTTGTTACTGTTTGAAAGTCACATTCCACATGATGTGTTCTTATAGTGTCCTAATTTAGGACCTCCACTAAGGGGCGCTCTATAAGCAAGTGTGACAAGGGCAATTATAAAACAGTAGAAGATGGGGTTTGGTGGGGTTTGCCCTAACCAGATGGGGCTGGGCTATGGAGTTAAAAGGAGAAGGGACTCATTCAAGGAGAAAGGGGGGAATGTAGGATGTGTCCATGTGGCCTTGCGGCCTCCAGCACAGTCTGGCTGATGTTTGGTCAGAAATGTGTAAGTGGGACTGTGAGAGTGACTAGTTGTATTAGTCTGCTGTGTCCTGGTTGTATTAGTTGCATTGCAAACCATTTGTTTTATGTTTTTATTCAGTGTTTTTTTTTTTTCACTTTTTCACTTGTGTGCAAAATAAAATACCACGTTTGCCAAGTCGCACTCTGGAATCTTTTCGAGGGGAACCCTGTCTCTGCACCATCACGCTACATGTGAAACAGTGCAGCCTTGTAATCTCCACACCCCAACATTCCCACAAGTACTAGCCATATTTTATGTTGTGAAAACAGGGACTCCATTCTTTGGTATGGTCTTAATAACAGCACTGAATCTGTGCATCTCAGGAAACAAAGGCCACTCATCTGCATGTCCTGTTTTGGAGGTGCCCACTTCACCTGGACCTGCTTTTGGCTGTGTGAGGAACATGCATAAAGTGAAACGGAGAGATGATGTTCCACCTGTCCAGCAGAGACTCCACCATCTGCCCTTTCCTGTGAGAGATGCAGTGTTGGCTTGAGCTGAAAGCAAGAAACTAAAAAGATGAGCTGCAAAAAAGCAAAAGAAAATGAAAACCTACACAGATTCCAAACGAAATGCTGAAGCACCGAAGCTGAGGGAAGAGGATTTTGTGCAAGTGAGCAACCCAATCCATGTTTTTTGTCCATATTTTTTATTTTAATTTGATTTGATTTTTAATTATTTTCATCTTAATTTCTAATTTTATTTTTCATTTAATCGTTTTTAATTTCTATTCTCCTCTACTTTTTAAATGACTGTTTTCTCATTTGTAAAGCACTTTGAATGAAGGCAGTGTAAGAAAGGTGCTCTATAAATAAACTGTAAGGAAAGTCAAGGTTCACTGAGCTCCATCAAATTGCACAGAAAAGTGGAATTCAGTTACTAGCTAGGTGCTGGTTGTGTATGGGATGCCTCACATCTGGCAATGGTGAAGAATATAATGACCCTACTCAGCAACCCAGCCCTGGTGTTGTCAAAACTAGAACTGAAAGTGTGTTAGAAGGGAACTACCTGGCTGAAGGACTATGTGGCTAAAAGTAAAGGTGGTCACACAGACCAATAAGCCTCCTATTGTATGACACAGCTTGACTGAATTATGCTTATAAAATGTTTCCTTTATGTTTTTTGGTGATTGCTTGTGTTACAGTTGAAGTAGTCCTGCAGTTAAAATATATGTTGGGACTGAATATCTACTGTCCTGATACTGTAGTTCTTATTTTTTGTGAGAGGGAAAATGTTGTGTTCTTATTTTGTCCTAATTTTGATCCTCCACTATGGGGCGCTCTATGAGCAAGTTTGATAAGAGGATTTAAAAAAAAAGAGCAGAATAAAAGAAGTGAGTGTGTATGATGCAGCAGTGCTGCAGTAAAGAGTTTTTGGATTGGACCAGTTTTGCTTTTATACCACCACCTAACACAATGGTGTTTCCATCTGGGCTATTTGGTGTCATTTGAGGAAATTACAGAGAAGCTTTATCCCGCATGAACCAGGCAATCAAATCATGCACAAATTACACTACCGGACCTCCTCTGATAAAACTAATCCAGCTCTAGCAGGGCTTTAGACAGACTTTCTGACTGAATCCACAGGATGAATTTTCAGGTTGAAATAACTGCACAGATTGAGCAGCAGAAACAGCTGCTTTTTTGTTTCGCTGGATGGTTTATTAAAGGTAATATCACTGCATCACCCTGCAGAGGTGCTGAAAATGTGCTTGATTAGAATGTGTGGAAGCTGAGTCGCCTCAGACCAGGAGACGTGTAAAACAGGAATCTTTATGAAAAGTAGATTTAGAACAGCTCATTTTACAGATTGAGGTCTTTAAAGGGAATTTCACCAATGTTTCACATTTAAAAAAAATCCACCAAAATTCAGTGTTTGAAATTTCAACAGAGTCATTGAGAGTTATATTCTATATTACCCCAAAAACTTTTTAATTTTTATTAGTGCTGTAAAACACTAATTCACTCATTTCTGCTTAGTTTCTTACCTGTTACCTGTTTAAATGGTCAGTGTGATGAACAGACACAGTTACAGACTGTAGTTACAGTCAAACTGAACCATATTAGAGCTGTAAAATACAAACCTTGCTCCAGGTGAAAACATCAGTTCTTCAGAATGATGTTGATAATTACACTGTAATTATGAATAAATCATTGTATTATAATCGCTCATGATCGTTTTATGACTTTCACATGTAGCGTCACCTACAGACAGTGTGGTTCTTCAGGAACGGATCAGCTAAAAATACTGAAATTAGACAGAATCAGGGCTGTAAATACAGCATCACGTCTTCCTTTCGTGTTACCTGTTACTAAAACACTGTTACTCTGTTATAAAGCACAGATCTGAGAAAAGACTCAGAGATAAGTTCAGCCACACCACATGTTCCTCTTTATATAACATGCTTATGGTTCTTTATCATTTAGTAAAACTAGAAAACCAGCATGTATTTTTTAGGTTAATCAGTACCACATCATTACTCTCTCATTACTGACATGGACAGTTCTACTATGTTTACTTTGCATATTAAGTAAATTCAACAGCACTGATAAATCATATTATTAAAGGAGAAAAGTAGATTATATTAGATCAGCAGAATTAAAAGGTTCACTAGTGTTACCCATAAATAAAAACATAATGGATAATAAACACTACAGCAGTGAAGTCTGTTCAGCAGTGAGTTCATTCAGTAATGATGGTGACAGCAGTGTGGGGGTGTTATAGGACTTTTTACCTGATCAATCAATCAATCAATCCATCAATTGTTCCAGAGGGCAAAAATCAACAAAATGCTCACTAAACTGGTTTACCAGTCTAACCAGCCTTTTTTTCAGCAGGGTTCATACATTTCTGGAGATACACACAACTTTTCATGGCAAGAATTACAGTTGATTAAGAAACACTCGAATGCTAACCTTGCTAACAGTGAATGAAACTGAATATCCACTGATTTTGAGAAGCTGCTGCTGTTACAGACGCACTGAGGCATTAAACTCTCTGAATAGTTTTAGTTCGGCAGATGGTTCATCTTCAACCCCTCAAAACACACCCTGAGTATCACCTGTCTGAATAGCTCCCAGTGCCAGTAAACAGTGGCTCTGTTAGCGCTGCTGTGCTAATATTAGCCGTCAGATGACCACTGGGTGTAAACAATATGGCTGCAGCAGCCTGTGTGATGTAAATCGGATGCCGTGGACGATCATCAGTGTTATTCATGCTGAGTTACTCCATGTAAGCTTGGCTCAGTGTTAGAGGCTGTTAGCCAGCTAGGCTGAAGGCCGCTCTCACTGCCACATCGCTGGAGGTCTGAAATGATCTGGCAGAGTTAGATGTTTCCGACAGACATGATCTTCAGTCATGGCTCTTTCTGAGTGTTCATGAGGCTCCAGTAGTCTAACTGATGGACGGTGTGATCAGAGTTTGATTCAGTATAGACTGGACTGTACAGTGAATGTTGATGGAAGAGGCGCCAGATTAAGATGCGTTTTATTCTCACTTTATTCCAGAGTTTTAAGTGCTGTGATGATATTCTCCTGTTCACTATCTGACCCTGTGTGAAAACTGTTAATCTGAACTGCGCAGAGTTTCATAACAGTCTATCCCTGTCAAGCCTACAGTCAAAATAGGGGTCAGACAGCTGTAAGCGTCCTGCCCCAGAAATCAATATAACCTCTGTAAACATTTACACTCACAGAATGTTCTTCATCTTCAGTTTAAAGTTTATCTGTGTTTTATGAAGCTTAATAACCACCTCAACTCCTTAAAACATTATTTTCTCTTCCTGGATCTCCACAGATCTGTCTTTCAAGTTCTTTCATGTCATCAGAAATTAAGGTTCTTCTATATTTGAATATAAACTAGAAAATGTCTTCCTGAGCTGAATGCTAGATGTGAAATATAATTGTCAGCAAAATTTCTGTTTGTACAGGTGAAATTTTTGAAGTTGGTGTAACCAGCTTGATCTGACTAAGGGAAAGCATATATACAGTGAAAAGAAGAGGGCCGAGAACAGATCCTTGAGGAACACCATGTGTAACAGGGATATTAGAGGGACAGATATTTACTGACTGATATTAAATTAAATATGATGGAAGCCAAACATGCCAGAAGAATATCATGACTAACAGTGCCAAAGCTGCACTAATAATAAGATATAATAATAAGAATGGTGAGGAATGGTGTCCTGTTAAGTGATCTCAGTGCAGCTCTCAGTTCAGTTAGTCATGACGTTTTTCTCTCCACTGTTTCGTCTGTTGATCTCTGTGGACAAAAACTTGATTGAAAACACTCAAAGTGATTATTTATGCTATGCTAGTTTTGAAATTTAGAAGCAACAACTCTCTCTTGAACAGAAAATGGAGAATAGAAACTGATCAATAATTAGAGGGTTAATTAGAGTCGTGGTTCCTTAAACTACTTTGTCTCATGATGCTTGTTTATGCCATTTTATTATTATATATGATTTCAGATTATCACAGATAAATAAAATTAGCCCACTGCATGTGACAGCATTGTGCCAAATCAATACATTTGAGGACAATAAGACACACATAAAAGAGATGGTTCAATGTTAGTATTTATTAGCTAATGTGATATTACATATTAAGAATGTTTTTTTTTTTCTGAAAAGTTGGTATTTTGAAGATGGAAGGTTTTATTTGGACAGTGATGAGATTTTAACTGTCTCAATACTTTGTTAACTAATGTGACAGTAAATGACCAGTGTCTCTATTAGAGCTGTGGTCACTGGGCTAATGTTAGCTGTCACTTCAGGTGACCGGCGTACGTCAGCGATACGACTGCAGTGACAGGTCTGACATGAGACCAATACTCTGAATATCATTTTCCAATATTTAGGCTGTGTTAATCTGAGTTAAGGGCTGTTAGCCAGGTGGGCCAAAGGCTGTTAGCTGGGTGGGCTAAAGGCCGCTGGCCAGATTAGTTAAAGGCTGTTAGCCAGGTGGGCCAAAGGTTGTTGGCCAGGTGAGCCAAAGCCTGTTGGCCAGATTAGTTAATGGTTGTTAGCCAGGTGGGCTAAATGCCACCATTACTGCCCACATTCCTGAAGTGATCTGGAATCTGGAAGAAGCTTGAAACTGGTTCAGGATTCATTCAGACCACCTGACACCATCACACACACACACACACACACACACACACACACACACACACACACACACACACTCCAGTGATCACTTACACTCCATCACGAGTGCTGACGAGGGTTCAGTAAAACGCGCCGGAGCTATAAAATGACCCAAAACACCCCACAGTTCACCTTCAGAGGGTTTGTTATTACATGTGACCTGCACTGGATTACAGCCTGTTTCACATTCAGTAATTCATCAGGTGAAACATGAAATTATAAATATAAAAAACATTGAGAACTGGGTTTGTAATGCTACAGTATTTCTGAGAGTCTCTGTGCTGTTAAAGCGCTGCTGCAGTGTTTGTTTCCTCCAGTTTAAGAACGGTCCTGTTTGTCCATTCATGGTCCAGCAAATCAACATCATCTTTCACCTAATCAATAATAAAACAATAATAAATCAATAAAATGATATACATTCCAGTTGTTCAGTAGCTTGTGGCTGTTGTGACTTATTCAGTATCTACTATTGATTATTCAGTGTCTGTTACACAACAGTATAAATTCTGAAGTTTTGAGTTTGAAGAGTTTAAGAAGTTAAAGACAAATTTATATTTTGTTTAGTTCACTCACCATGAGCTCTTCTGGCTCCGCCCCCTCCAACGTCATGTGATTCCCACCTGAAAAGTTGCAGAAAACATTTCAGAGAAACAGAATCCAGTGAAGCTGAACTTTAGCAGCTTTAGTGTTGACTCACACGTCACTGGAGCGTATTACACAAACAGCTGTATATAAATCACTCTGAGAGTGTTATAAACAGTAATAAAGGTCAGTGTGGGTTCTACTCACGTCTCTGTGTCCGTCTCCTCCAGATCACAGTGACCACTACGGCCACTGTTAGTAAAGTCCCCCCAGTGACCATCAGATACAGATATTGTCTGAAATAAACAGAAATACAGAAATACCTTACAAAAAAATCATCAAATTCACACAGCATTTTTCTAGAAGTGCTGCAGTGTGTTCAGAATGTTCTGCATGTTAATTTTAGAGCATTAGTTCTCTAACATTTATTAGCTGGGTTGTTTTAAGGACTTTTATTGTGAAGGCAGGACTAGCCCATGCTGTGTTCTGTTATTTTAGGAAGTGCTGATCCTGTCTAACGCTGATGGCTGTTAAAGATGTAGCGAGACTCTCTCGGTCTCGGTCACACTTTATTTTACAGTCCACTTTAGATGTTTTTTAGACACTTAAAAGTAAATTAAGTTACATTGAACTAAATATCGACTAAACTCCCCATGATTTTCTTTAACTCTAAACCTGCTCTAATCCTGACCCTAACCTTAACCTCAACCCAAAACCTAAACCCAGCCCTCACCCTGGTCCAAATCCTAACCCTGACCCCACCACTGTTCAGTATCACCTGACTTACAACAGATAGTTTGTTAAGAGTTTGAACATCAGTAGATAATCTATAGTGGACTATCCAGATGAAGTGAGGCCAAACTCTCGGTGCACGGCGTTGCTGTGGCCGACTACAGTCTTTAATAAAGCACAATGATGTGCATAAACTGGGTCTTTAATAGCAGTTAAAGCTACAGTGCTTTATATAAACAAACTGTAAAACTGCAAGTGTTAAAGTTGGTGCTGTACAAAAGTCTGTTGTGTGTTATTAAAGTTCTGTCTGTGTTTAGTTTAGCCGCCTGCTGGGTTCTTTATTCAGAGATTAACACTCAATTAAATAGTCAGTCAGTGTAGGTAGAAGGTGTACCTAATAAACTGACAGCTCAATGTAGTGTAGAGTCTCAAAGTACCGGCCCGTGAGGCAGCTTCGTACGGCCTGTCTCAGATCTATAATGTATGTGTGGATTCAGCCCACTGATTTATTTCTGCGGTTAAATTATTCGTCTGATCTCAGACGGTAGATCTTCTTCACCCAGCAGACACGGCGTCTGATTCGCCAACATAAGATCTATAAACTCGGCTCAGACGGATGAAAGCAGAGACAGAGCTCTGAACACAGGAGGAACCATTCAAACCTGATCCAGCATGAGCGCTGCACACTGAGCTCACATGTGAGAGTAAAACGCGATTCAGTAGATAAATCTATACGTACCTGTCTCTAGTAGCTTCTGTGCCTTTGGGCTCACCTAATGGACAACCGGTCAGAGCTGTGAAGGTACAGAGAACTGGGTTAAATGTGTCCACCAAACAGGGAGCTTTCCTTTCCTGAAGATGATCTGATGGAGAAAACATTGAGCTTCACCTGTCAGAGTGGAGGTGGTGGATAGTGAGGAGGTGGTGGACGGTGAGGAGGTGGTGGATAGTGAGGAGGTGGTGGACGGTGAGGAGGTGGCGGACGTTGAGGAGGTGGTGGACGGTGAGGAGGTGGCGGATGTTGAGGAGGTGGTGGACGGTGAGGAGGTGGCGGATGTTGAGGAGGTGGTGGACGTTGAGGAGGTGGCGGACGTGCGGTCAGTTGAGTGTTCAGTCACAGCTGAAGGTGCTGCTGGTTGGTGTGTGGAGCTGAGCGGTGTTGGTGTTGACAGTGCAGATGTTAGCAGTGCTGATGTTGCTGCAGTTGTTGCCTGATGAGACTCTAAGAATGAAATTATGAGACTGTTTATTCAGGACTGAGACGGGTCTGGAGATCTACTGCTGTGCTTAAGATTAGCATCTAAGATCAGAGTCTAAGGTTTGAAGAATAGCATTAAGAATACTGACTCTGAACTCTACACACCTGACTCCGCCCAGGAGGAGCTCCTTAACCCCTTAACATTCCAGGCTTATTTCATACTAAGGTCTATTATCCAGTAACTACAGGGACTTCAGTGTAAACTGGCTGAGCTTTTCTTTGGTTATAACAGTGTGTAATAAACCTTTCGGCCCACCAGCCCAAAGTTTGGCTTGTTAAGGGGTTAATTAGTTAATGAGATGATTTAGGAGTGCTTGATGATGCAGAGCACACAAATATGCAGTGTTGGGTCACCAGGACTGAGACTGGTAACCGCTGCGTTAGAGCATAAAGTCAGGATCAAGACTAAGGGGTTAAAGTTAGTCCTAGCATTAGGGTGTAAATTAGTACAGTTTAAAATGAAAACAGTTTTAGAGTGTGAGGTTAAGATTAGTATTAGGACTAACATTAGGGTGCAATGTCAAGGAATGTCATTATGGTGAAAGGTTACGATTACCACAATATAAGATTGGGATTAGCACCAGGGTGAACAATTAGGATTAACGTTAGGATATAAGGTTAAGATTAGCGATAAAGCATAAGGTTAGGATTAGTGTTAGATTAGGATGAAAACTTAGTATGAGGTTGAACTTAGTATGTTAGGGTCAGCTGTGGTGTACGGTCAGTGTCAGTGTTAGGGTCAGTGCTGGTGTACGGTCAGTGTCAGTGTCAGTGTTAGGGTCAGCGCTGATGTATGGTCAGTGTCAGTGTTAGGGTCAGCACTGATGTATGGTCAGTGTCAGTGTTAGGGTCAGCTGTGGTGTACGGTCAGTGTCAGTGTTAGGGTCAGTGCTGGTGTACGGTCAGTGTCAGTGTCAGTGTTAGGGTCAGCGCTGATGTATGGTCAGTGTCAGTGTTAGGGTCAGCACTGATGTATGGTCAGTGTCAGTGTTAGGGTCAGCGCTGGTGTACGGTCAGTGTCAGTGTTAGGGTCAGCACTGATGTATGGTCAGTGTCAGTGTTAGGGTCAGCGCTGATGTACGGTCAGTGTCAGTGTTAGGGTCAGCACTGATGTATGGTCAGTGTCAGTGTTAGGGTCAGCTGTGGTGTACGGTCAGTGTCAGTGTTAGGGTCAGTGCTGGTGTACGGTCAGTGTCAGTGTCAGTGTTAGGGTCAGCGCTGATGTATGGTCAGTGTCAGTGTTAGGGTCAGCACTGATGTATGGTCAGTGTCAGTGTTAGGGTCAGCGCTGGTGTACGGTCAGTGTCAGTGTTAGGGTCAGTGCTGGTGTACGGTCAGTGTCAGTGTCAGTGTTAGGGTCAGCGCTGATGTATGGTCAGTGTCAGTGTTAGGGTCAGCACTGATGTATGGTCAGTGTCAGTGTTAGGGTCAGCTGTGGTGTACGGTCAGTGTCAGTGTTAGGGTCAGTGCTGGTGTACGGTCAGTGTCAGTGTCAGTGTTAGGGTCAGCGCTGATGTATGGTCAGTGTCAGTGTTAGGGTCAGCACTGATGTATGGTCAGTGTCAGTGTTAGGGTCAGCGCTGGTGTACGGTCAGTGTCAGTGTCAGTGTTAGGGTCAGCGCTGGTGTACGGTCAGTGTCAGTGTTAGGGTCAGCACTGATGTATAGTCAGTGTCAGTGTTAGGGTCAGCGCTGATGTACGGTCAGTGTCAGTGTTAGGGTCAGCACTGATGTATGGTCAGTGTCAGTGTTAGGGTCAGCGCTGGTGTACGGTCAGTGTCAGTGTCAGTGTTAGGGTCAGCGCTGGTGTACGGTCAGTGTCAGTGTCATTGTTAGGGTCAGCGCTGATGTACGGTCAGTGTCAGTGTTAGGGTCAGCACTGATGTATGGTCAGTGTCAGTGTTAGGGTCAGCGCTGGTGTACGGTCAGTGTCAGTGTCAGTGTTAGGGTCAGCACTGATGTATGGTCAGTGTCAGTGTTAGGGTCAGCGCTGGTGTACGGTCAGGGTCAGTGTCAGTGTTAGGGTCAGCGCTGGTGTACGGTCAGTGTCAGTGTTAGGGTCAGCAGTGATGTATGGTCAGTGTCAGGGTCAGCGCTGATGTACGGTCAGTGTCAGTGTTAGGGTCAGCACTGATGTATGGTCAGTGTCAGTGTTAGGGTCAGCGCTGGTGTACGGTCAGGGTCAGTGTCAGTGTTAGGGTCAGCGCTGGTGTACGGTCAGTGTCAGTGTTAGGGTCAGCAGTGATGTATGGTCAGTGTCAGGGTCAGCGCTGATGTACGGTCAGTGTCAGTGTTAGGGTCAGCACTGATGTATGGTCAGTGTCAGTGTTAGGGTCAGCGCTGGTGTACGGTCAGTGTCAGTGTCAGTGTTAGGGTCAGCGCTGGTGTACGGTCAGTGTCAGTGTTAGGGTCAGAGCTGGTGTACGGTCAATGTCAGTGTTAGGGTCAGAGCTGGTGTACGGTCAGTGTCAGTGTTAGGGTCAGCGCTGATGTATGGTCAGTGTCAGTGTTAGGGTCATTGCTGGTGTTCCCACTGTAGTATAAACTCTGTTTCAGGGTCTTGCTGAAGGTACCTGTGTAGTTCTGTGAGGTGGACGCTGCAGTGACGGTGACGTGGACCGGAGCCTGAATTCCTCCAATCATACACCAGAACCAACCACCGTCGTCCATCTGCAGGTTGGTCAGCGTTACAGTGAAGACGCCCTGACCCTCGTCCCTGAGTTGCAGCTTTGCATTCTGGGGTGGCTGTATGTCCTGCTGTGATTGGCAGGAGTGCAGATTTCCGCTCCTGCACCACTTCTTCTCATCCTCCTTCAGCCGGTCGCTATAGTGACACTGAACAGTCACGTTCCCGCCCACGGTGCCGGACACTGAGCTGCTGCTGACCCAAAGGTCTGGCGTGTCTAAGAGCAAAAACTGGGCACCTTTATGATCCTCAATAATTAATCAATAATACAGTGTTTGGTGTTACATTACAACATACAGTGTAAATTATACATTAAAGGAATTATTAAATAATTCTGTTTACATTAGAGACCCAAACAAACACCATTCACCATGGTGGACACCAGGAGTCGGCACTTAATTAAACATACTAATAATAATAATAATAATAATGATAATAATAAGAATAAGATAAATCTGTTAGTATATATAATATCTATTACAGAGTCAAACACATTGTACTCAGTTTGGATATGTTTAACTCCTAAACCTCATAGTTACCGCCAGCAATAACAAAATAATGATTTATTATATTTTATATTAATTATTTCAGATGTGCAGCTACTGAAAGAAGAGAAACTGAAAAAGTGGAGAAACTGTGGAAAGTGCTGATTCAAAACTTTTAATTTAGACCACGTTAGTGTCTGTAAGTAGAGGAAGAGACATTTTATTATGATTTAAATCTGATATTTGGTATGATTGTGTGTACAGTTGTTTTATACAAAGAAAAAAAACATTCTTTACATTTTTGCTGTTTTTATCATTTTTTGATGAAAAAAGTGCAGATTTGAATCTGTCCATGCAATGAAAATATAATTCATGATGTAACTAGGAATGTAACTGATTATGAAAGTACATAATTACTTTCAGATAGCAGCAGAGAGACAGTCTGGACCTCTAAGGGTTACAAAACCAGTAAAACATTCAAATTTAATATTATGAATGATCATAACTGAATTCCAGAATATTTCCTACCGTCTGTCACCTGCAGCTCCAGAGAGGTCCTGAGGTCCGCCTTCAGGACCCCCCCACGCTTCACGGCGCACCAGTAGCGTCCGGCATCTCTGACCTCTAGACCGGACAGGGTCAGTGTGGTTACCAGCTCAGCCGGACTGTCCGTAATGTTGGCCTTCGCCGACTGTCTCACAGTAATACAGATTTGCCACATCCTCCCTTTGCACCAGTACTTCACCTGCGCTCTGAACCTGTAGTTATAGTGGCAGGGGACAGTAATGGACCCACCGCTCCTGACCGTCAGCCTGTCCACTGTCCACAGCCCACAGCATCCTGCACAGGAACAGGACACTGTGTTACAACTCCCAATACACACTAGACCCAGTCCAGTACAGCTTAGTCCCTATTTAATACAGACTAGTCCCAATTTAATACAGACTAGACCCAGTCCAGTACAGCTTAGCCCCAGTCTAGTACAGCTTAGTCCCAATCTAATACAGACTAGCACAGCATAGTACCTATTTAATACAGACTAGCCCCAGTCCAGTACAGCTTAGTCCTAATTTAATACAGACTAGCTCCAGTCCAGTACAGCTTAGTCCCCATTTAATACAGACTACTCCTAATTTAGTACAGACTAGTCCCAGTCCAGTACAGCTTGGTCCCAATATAATACAGACTAATCCCCCTCCAATACAGTTTATTCCTGGTCTAATACATTCTAGTCATAGGTCAATACCGACTAGTCCCAATTTAATACAGACTAACCCCAGTCTAGTACAGCCTGTTCCCAATTCAGTCCTTGTTAGTGCCTGTCCAGTACAGTTTAGTCCCAATTCAATATAGACTAGTACCAGTTCAATACAGCCTAGTCTCAATTTAATACAAACTAGTCCTAGTCCAATACAGACTAGTCCCAGTCAAGTACAGCTTACTCCCAATGTAGTATAGACTAGTACCAGTTCAATACAGACTAGTCCCAATTTAATACAGGCTGGTCCCAGTCTAATACAGGCTAACTCTAATTGAATGCAGGCTAATCCTAACTGAACGGGAAATAGAACGGTTCTACATAGGTACATAAGTTCTCCAGGGCTGCCCGCTGTCACTGCACTTGTTCACCTTGTGTGCCTCAGAGAACTGAATCAAGATCTGAGAGAATCTTTAAATCTTTACACTGGACACTGCAGCAATAACAGGTCAGTGGAGCTGCTGAATGGTTACTCTGGTCAGTGCAACAGGAAACAGGAAATCTGTTGCAATGCCACAGGAACACGATTGCCTCACACAGTGACATCAAACTAGAATGAACTAAAGAGCAGATATGAACTTTAATGAAGCTTTTACTTCTCTTTTATGGTGGAGATTCTGGTCTAATTCCTCCAGAGTGGCAGTGATTTAGTTCTGCTGAGGTTCTGATTGGCTGAATCTGGTAAACACCACAGATTAAAGTCCTCTCAGATGGGTTTGGCTGCTGATCTACACAGCTCTGTTCACACGAACGCTGCCTGACACAGGACACTTTGGCATCTTTTAAACTTTTATGAATAAGATTTCATTTGAACTCTTACTTTTAAACTCAGTAACAACATCTCTGTAAAAGTTTAGAGACCATAAAGCAGATCTGTGCTTTTCTTTTGGGTTCATAGATCTTCAGCACTCAGCTTCAAAACTCAGCTTCGTCTTCATCAGATATTCGCTTCAGTGTGAAGAGCAGGTTCAGCCTAAAAATGATACTGAAGATGCTCCGATATGGGAACTCAGGGTACGGATACAGATATCTGATATTCATAATGCACACATCTGTCGATGCACAGACATTTATAAAATGTATAAACTGGGATTATATCCTGAATTAGCACTGCAGAGATTATTAATGCAGTGAAATGAATAAAATGCATTATTTGTAGTTCAGTAACTCAACGTCACCTTAACATTCTGCTCAATTCAATAAACACACATCAGTCTGAAACATCAGCCTAATAAAAACATCTGTCTGATGCTGAAACATTGTTTTATGCAGTTATCTGAGCTACATATACGATTCTGAAAGCTTTTCCAAACTATTTAAAAGCTCATATTGAAACTCTTTCGGCCTAAAGGTGGTTTAAACACCTGGAAGGTTTCAGTGCTGATGAGTGACATCACAGCACGAGGCCTTTGGCTTTATTCTCAGTACAGTCACTACAACTGGCACAAAGACTTACATGATATTATTTTACTCTAATAGACTTGATTAGGCTTTAAAATGGTCAGTTATTGCAGAACAGCAAAGAAAACAATTATTAACACTAACAGTGAGAGTTTCGTATGAAGCTGTTATATTTATGGAATTTTGAATGAATATTAGGCTCAATATGTGCAGTAAGTTAAATTAATTCGAGCTGTTATATTTACTATAATTCAAATAGACAGCAGGCATTATATTATTATTTACAGTATCAGTGTATTATTATGTCCCCTACTGTCTTTAAGATACATCCTGTCACTCAAAGAAAAACGTGCATCATGACAGCTGTTCCGTTTAAATGATGTATAAAAATAAAAAACTGGAGATCTGTGTGTTGTTTGTTCAGAGATGTTGTACGTTTATAAATCTTTTTCTTCTTAAAGCTGTGTGTCGGTGTGGATCTGTGGAGAGAGAACTTACCTGGTACCGCCAGGAGAAGAACAGCAGGAACCAGCAGGAACATCATCGACCTTCAGCGCAACTTCACAAACAAGCTTCAGAGAACGTTTCTCCACCTTATCCTCCTCCAGGAGATCTGAGCGTTCCTCTGCTGTGGTGTAGCTGAGTGTAAGTGAGGTTTCTTGTGTTCTCGGCTCAGTGTCTCTCTGACTTCCTGAGGAACGCTGCAGGATTTCAACACAAATGGAGAAACATTTTTTCCTCATTTTTCATCCTCTACGTCAAATCGGAGAGTCTAACCCAACAACCAATGAGTAACACCAGACCGTGTGTGTGTGTGTGAGTGTGTGTGTGTGTGAGTGTGTGTGTGTGTGTGTGTGTGTGTGTGTGCGTGTGTGTGTGTGTGTGTGTGTGTGTGTTGTCCACTCTGTGAGATACTGTGACTCAATCTGTCTCCATGGTTTGGTCACTGCTCTCTCTGAGCTGCAGCTCCTGAATCAGTGATTGTTTTAACTCACAGTGGAGTTTCCATTCAAACTCTTTGCCAGTTTGAAGTGAATTTCCAAAAGGTTTGTAAAAGAAACTACAAATGAATCAGTTAACAAAGGAGAATTTTACTGCTCATTAGAATTGTTGCTCTTTGATGGCTTTGATGACTGTCCTGTTCCTGAACTGAAACAGCGTCAGAGAAAAAGATGAGACTCTCAAACATCACACAGACAAACATGCTGCTCTGAGTTCATTCAGATTTAAATCTATTACATCATCAAAATTACTGTTATATTATATATTATATTTTATTTTACTTTTATATCATCAAAACTAAGAAGGGTGAATATATAGTGCTGTGAAAAAATGTTCACCCCTTCCCAATTTCTTCTAATTTTTGCATATTTGTCACACTTCACTGTTTCAGATGAAGCAGCTTGAGCTACTTTTAATATTATTCAGAGATAACTCAAATAAACACAAAATGCTGTTTTTAAATCATGATTTAATTTATTGAAGGACAAATGCTGTTCAGCCCTCCCTGGCCCAATATGAAAAAGTAATTTACCTACTAAATCAACCAGTTAACCAGCAGTCAATTGACTGTTGGGTACAATTTCGCTGCCACACCCAGACATCATCACTGCCACACCTGTTGAATCTAAACATCACTTAAACAGAGCCTGTCAGTGTGAAGCAGCTAGAAGGTCTCAAAAAGCAGCACAGGATGCCGCGTTCTAAAGAGATTCAAATACGTATGCAAAACAGAGTCACTGAAATCTGACAGTCTGGAAAGGGTTACACAGCCATTGCTGAGGCATCCATGGGAGAGTCGCAAGGCACAAACCACTGCTGACCAAAAAGAACACAAAGACCCATCTCACAATTTCCAAAAAAACATTTCAATGAGCCCAAAAAATTTAGAGAAAATATTCTGTGTACTGATAAGTCAAAGGTAGAAGATGTGTCCTGTGACAATCCTCAAGATGCACTAAGCAAGGCATTTATATCTATCATAGACTCCATAGGTTTCACCCAAATCATAAAGGGGCCCACACACTACCACAACCACACTCTAGACTTAATACTGACCTTTGGTGTAGACATAGATAACTTAGCCATTCTCCCCCAGAGCACAGCAGTCTCTGACCATTACTTAATCTCTTACGAAATTCACTTTAGTGGTAATGTGCGTTCCCTGTGAACTATCTAATTATAGACCCATCTCGAATCTCCGCTTTATATCTAAGATCTTGGAAAAAGTTGTAGCAAAACAATTAAACTCTTATTTGTATATGAATCAAATACACGAAAAATTCCACTCTGGCTTTAGGCCACATCATAGTACAGAGACAGCACTAGTAAAAATTGTAAATGATCTTTTATTATTCTCTGACCAAGAAAATGTGTCCCTGTTAGTCCTCCTCGATCTTAGTGCGGCATTTGACACAATAGACCACACTATCTTACTGGACAGACTAGAAAACCTTGTAGGGGTAACAGGAACAGCTCTTTCCTGATTCAGGTCCTACCTCACTGATCAGTATCAGTTTGTTAATATAAACGGTGAATCATCTGTTCTCACAAAAGTAAAGTATGGTGTTCCACAAGGCTCTGTTTTAGGACCTGTACTATTCACATTATATATGCTACCACTGGGAACCATTATTAGTAAACACAGCATAAATTTCCACTGCTATGCTGATGACACTCAGTTATACTTAGCAAGCAAACCGGATGATTAAATTAAACTTAGCAAGATTGAATTGCATCAAGCTCATCTGTAAAAAGCCTTGGTGTCATTATAGACCCTGATCTGTCCTTCGACGCACACATAACTAATCTTACTAGAACAGCCTTCCTGCATCTCCGCAATATTGCTAAATTGAGAAATGCATTCTCTCTACAGGATGCAGAAAAGTTAGTTCATGCATTTATTACTTCAAGGCTAGATTACTGTAATGCCCTGCTGGCTGGATGTCCCAGCAAAAGCCTTAACAAGCTTCAGCTGGTCCAGAACGCTGCAGCCAGAGTTCTTACTAGAACCAGAAGGTTTGACCATATCAGCCCAGTTTTATCAACCTTACACTGGTTACCAGTTAAATTTCACATTGATTATAAAATTCTCTTACTGACCTATAAAGCACTAAACGGACTCGCCCCTCTGTACCTGAGTGAACTTCTCTCTCACTATGAACCATCACGCCTACTTAGATCACAAGGTGCTGCTCACTATTAGTACCTAGAATAAATAAAGTTACGTCAGGGGGGAGAGCTTCTCATATAAAGCCCCCCAGCTTTGGAATAATCTCCCTGTTAATGTTCGGGACTCAGACACAGCCTCAGTGTTTAAGTCTAGGCTAAAAACTTACTTGTATAGTCGAGCCTTTGGTAATTAGTTTTCCCTGTCAGTTCTATACCAGCCAGAGTCTCTGCTGCTCTGCTAACACTGTAACCTGTGATCAGTTGCACATTACAGAACTGACACCCATTACAGAACTGACACCCATTACAGAACTGACTCTCTGTGTGTTTTTCCTTTCTTTCTTTCCTTTGCTGAGTTGAACAGCTGCCCATCCTGTGCGTCTGATGCTGCTGCCTCTTCTGCCTTGATCGGGTGCCACTGCTCGCCAGCTCTGCAGACATCAGGTATGTGTAAATATGTAAAGTATGTACTGGTTATATAATATATAATAAGTGTATGTTTAATACACTGTATGTCCAAAAGTTGTGGACACCTGCTGCTCATCCAATGCTTCTTCTAATATTAAGGGTATTAATGGAGCGTTTGCCCCATTAGTGCTGCAGTAACAGCCTCTACTCTTCTGGGAAAACTGGGAAAAATACTGTGAGGATCTGATTGAGCATTAGTGAGGTCAGATACTGATGTTAGATGGTCAGTTCTGGGTCACTCCAACTCATCTCATAGGCATCAGATCCATCACTCCAGAGAACACGGTTCCACTGCTCCACAGCCCAATGCTGGGGGGCTTTATACCCCTCTAGCCCATGCTGGGCAGTGGGCATGGAGACCTTAGGATCGTGCAGCTGCTCCAGAGCATCTTATTATTATTGTATTGGTCAGTGCTTTTCTATGGAGATTATACAAGCTGTGTGTGCACAACTGGAATGCCTGTGTCAGCAGTGAGTGACCTTAAAGTAGCTGAATTCAGTAATTAGACAGGGTGACTGAATACTTTTGTGTTTGTTTGTATTTGTTAAAAATGCTTACTGTTAATTGATGAACCAGTGTTACCAGTATGTCCAACTCATTATACAGCCAAAATAATCCTGACCTTCAACCAGTAAACAGGTTTTTGTACTTTGATAATAACAGAAAAATAGGCACTCATAGTTAAAGTGTTCATAACTCAGTAACGTGATGAATTATTAACACCACCAATATTTGTACCCTTGTTAACTCATTCTCCCAGTTTGACCTTTGACCTATCCATAGTAGTGCAGGCTGGAGCCCAGAAGCAGCACACTTTATGTTGCTGTTGTTCAAATACAGCATATCATATATATCATCTGATATAAATAATATACACGTTCACTGACTGTATATGTAAAATATGTGATTGACTGTGATTAAAAACTCTTATTGAAACTCTTTTGGCCTAAAGGTGGTTTAAACATGTGGAAGGTGTTGAGTGTATATATGACAAACAATGCTCATTAACTGTATATATGATGTATAAGATATATATGCATATTGACTGTATATATATTCTATTCACTCTTCATGATCAGAGTCTGCATTCACAATAGTGTTCTTGAATTATTGAAGATAATAAATACAGTGTGATGATGATTATTCTGTCCACTCATATAGATATAATACAACACTGCACAGATTTCAAAATGGAAATAAATCTTTATTTAGGGTGGAATTTGAACAATAAAAATGATTAATTACACAACATACAGTGTATAATTAATGTGAGTTACTTTATGTGGTAGTAGAATGTGATTAAGATTAATTAGATTTAATATATTGACAGTCCTCATTACTATGTAATTATAAGTGTACAATTGCAGTACGATTTAAATAATTAGACATTTGTGCAGCTGCAAACTACTGACCAGTAAACAACTGAACAGTAAACAACTGACCAGTAAACAACTGACCAGTAAACAACTGAACAGTAAACAACTGAACAGTAAACAACTGAAGGAGAAGTCTGTCTCAGTTGTTGATGGTGTGTTTGTTGAACTTGTACGACCTTATTGACTGATTTCCTGCAGAGTGTCTGTGTGTGTGTGTGTGTGGGTGTGTGTGTGTGAGAGTGTGTGTGAGTGTGTGTGTGTGTGTGTGTGTGTGTGTGTGTGTGTGTGTGTGTGTGTGTTTGAGTGTGTGGGTGTGAGTGTGTGGGTGTGTGTTTGAGTGTGTGTGTGTGAGTGTGTGTGTGTGTGTGTGTGTTTGAGTGTGTGAGTGTGTGTGAGTGAGTGTGTGTGTGAGTGTGTGTGTGTGTGTAATTTGACTCTGCAGGCTGTTTGAGTGTTTCAGCCTCGCGCTCTGACACTCTGAAGCTCTGACGTTTGCCTCGTGCCTCACACTCTGTTGACCACGGTCTGTAGGGGGGCGGGGCCACAGTACTGCTGGTCCCTCATTGGCCCGTTTGGGGAGCTGATGTCACACAGTGCACATATGAAGAACTGAGTCGGCGGGCTGTGCAGACTAAACTCAGAGTGACCCACAGAGGGAATAATCCAGAATTCTCCACTGAAAAGAGGATCTAATATTCAGATTCAGGGTCTGCAGGGCGCCATGAAGCTCGCGCGGTTCATCATGAAGAACGCAGCTCTGGCCAACGTGCCGAAGCACATCGACCACTTCTCTAAATTCTCTCCGTCGCCGTTATCAATGAAGCAGTTCCTGGACTTCGGTAAGAACATGTCTGAACTGCATGAGCAGGTCTGCAGGTATCTAGTACGACTTTAGGTGAACCTTCACTGGAGTCTTCAGACTAATGATATTCAAAAACAGTTCTTTAGTGAAGTCAATGGTTCCATATAGAATCATGAAAGAACCATTTACTGCATACATGGCTTTTTGGTTCTTCTCAATGATGGTTCTGTAAAGAGCTTTTCTATATATCTTACACCTCAATACTCCAGTTAAAGTGTTCAGTAACACTGTATTTGAAGGCTACTTACATAAGGACTTTATAACACATATATAAGCACTGGATAATGCATTTGTAAAGCAATACTTGACTATTTATGGACAGTTTATGACAGTATTCCCAAGAAGACAGCAGATGTTTTTAAAATAACTGACACTATTTTGTCAAAGGATCCTCTAAACTGAAGTGATAAAAATTTATTTTATTTATTACACTGTTATAAAGCATCATTGTCCTGTAATTGAGCTTATGAGGCAGATGTGTGTCTAAGAACACTCTCAGGAACATTTGCAGGAAAATATGTATAAAAATTATCCATTCAGTTCAGGGTTCATTGCTTCAGTATGATTCTCATCATAAACTGTTCATAAATACATTATTAAATGCTTATTAAAATTTCCTGTGCATGAAGGCCTTCAGATAAACTCCTGGAGCTCCTCTGTGGAACTGCAGTGGAAACCAGCACGAGGCTGAAACCTCTTCTTAGAACTTCATCAGGACATAAAGAACAAATCAGTCAGGCTGTTAGTGAAGTAAAAGGAACAAGACCTCACAACTGACTGACCTTTGACCCCTCTGTCCACAGGCTCAGTAAACGCCTGTGAGAAAACCTCCTTCAGGTTCCTCAGACAGGAGCTGCCGGTCAGACTCTCCAACATCATGAAGGAGATCAGACTGCTGCCCCCCTGCCTGCTCAGCACCCCCTCAGCTCAGCTCGTACACAGCTGGTACACACACACACACACACACACACACACACACACACACAGACACTCACATACACACTGTCCCGTACACGCCTTCAGAACTTACATAATTTGTATATGTGTATGTGTGTGTGTGTGTGTGGTCAGGCTGCAGGCAGTGTGTGGTTTAGTGCAGCAGGGCTGTGAACTTTGTCCCAGTTTCTCCACTGTGTTGTTTTCGTTGTGTTTCTGAGACGCTCTGAGCTGCAGCACTTTCATAACCGACTGAGGTAAATCTACTGCTCTAGTCTGGGCCATTCACTGTTAGTCTGGGCTATTCACTGTTAGTCTGGGCTATTTTCTAAATACTGGCTATTTAGCACTAATTTTGTATATTTCGTTTCAGTTTGGTTTTGGTACTGGTTATTTTGCGTGGTTTGGGTTATTTAACCCTGGTTTGGGTTATTTAACCCTGATGGTTTGGGTTATTTAACCCTGGTTTGGGTTATTTAGTGTAGTTTGTGTTATTCAGTGCTGGTCTGCTTTGCTGTGTTGTTGGTGCTGAAGGTCCGATCTGGAGACAGAGTCACTGCAGTGCTGTGCTGCAAGCTCACAGTCAGGTGTTCGGGGGTTTATCTGAGGTCTCTGTTTGAGCTCCTGCTGAAATGTGAGGCTGCTGTTGCGTAAAGTAACAGTGTTTCCTGCAGAGCTGCAGAGGCTCGGCCGGTTACTGCTCAGACACTGCTGTATGATTGGTGGAGAGAGAAGGAGGCAGAGCCTGTATAAAACTGTTTTTCTTCTAGTGAAGTTGGAGCTCCGTGTATCTGATACACACACAGAGGACTTTACACTGTAGTGAACATGTGAAAAACAGCTGATACTTTAATGATGAAGTTCAATCAGAGCCTTTCATTCAGATTTAAACTGCAGACGGTTCATTCAGGCCACGGCATTATTTACACAGCGGGCGCTGTTTATCGAGCCTCTACGGAAAACCAGAGAAACTGAGACCATCCTGGAGACGGAAACATTACATGACCTCACAGTTCAGAGAATCTTCTGTGGGTTGGGGGGGTGGTCCAGTCTACATTAACACACCTGGAAACAAACCAGTGGAAACTGTTCATTCACGGAATCTCAGTCACACCTTCAGCAATAAACTCTCATCTCAAATAACCTGAAACAGTGACCTTTCACCTACTTACTCTCTCTCTCTCTCTCTCTCTCTCTCTCACTCTCTCTGTCTCTCTCTCTCTCTCTCACACACACACACACACACACACACACTCTGTCTCTCTCTCTCACACACACACACACACACACACACACTCTGTCTCTCTCTCTCACACACACACACACACACACACACACACACTCTGTCTCTCTCTCTCTCACACACACACACACACACACACTCTCTCTGTCTCTCTCTCTCTCTCTCTCTCACACACACACACACACACACACTCTCTGTCTCTCTCTCTCTCACACACACACACACACACACACTCTCTCACTCTCTCTGTCTCTCTCTCTCTCTCTCTCTCTCAGGTATGTCCAGAGTTTAATGGAGATCCTTGAGTTCCTGGACAGAATGCCAGAGGATCAGAAGGTTCTGCAGGAGTGAGTGTTTTTACACTGTAAACACTGTTTACTCTGCAGTTCTACAGTAACGAAGGATCTGCAGCTGTAATTTACGGTTTTACTTGATGTAAAAAACCTCTGTTTTTTCTACACTCTTTAAATAAAAAAGGTTCTTTAAGCAACAAAGAACTGCATATGGTTCAGCAGTAGAGCAAAAACCTGGAACATCTGGGGATCCCTGAGAACCACTGCTCTAGAGAACCATGTTTGAAAATGTGAAGAAGCCTTTAAAGCTTTTAAAGGTTTTCCTAGAACCTTAACATTGTGTAGAGGTGCTTCACACTTCATTTACAAAAACTGTACTCTGAAAAACCAACCAATGAAAGGTTCTTTGGGGAACCAAAATGGGTTCCTCTATGGTATCACACAGAACCTTTTTTGACTCCTTTATTTTTAAAACTAATTTTCTTTATTTCATTCTTCAGTATTTGTTTATAAATAAAGCCAGTTAAAGTGCTTTTTCAGATTTTGAATGTTGATTTATGTTGTTCTGTTTTTCTCCTCAGTTTCGTGGAGACCCTGGTGACCATCAGGAACCGCCATAACGATGTGGTTCCCACTATGGCTCAGGGTGTGATTGAGTATAAGGAGATGTTTGGGCAGGATCCCGTCACCAGCCAGAACATTCAGTACTTTCTGGACCGTTTCTACATGAGCCGTATCTCCATACGCATGCTCATCAACCAGCACAGTGAGAACCTCCTCACACTCACCATTAACACAATGAGGTTCTAAAGCAGTGTGAGATACGCCTGTGTGTATTTCTGTGGAGTTTAATTTGATTGGACAGTCATGACTTCACTCTCGTCCAATGAAGCACAAACATATTAATTAACAAATTAATAAAAAAAACATAACCTGACCTGTAAGTCCAAATCCAGCCAGAGTGGAGATCCATTATTAGATTATTGGATTAGAATTTTCAGCGTTCACATTTGAAATGGATGAAAGCACTTTGTGAAATTTCACAGCAGCTATTAAATGTGACTTATTTTGGAGGTTCTTCCGTTCAGCCTTGAGTTTTGATATTTTTCTAAATTAAAATTGAAAATACTGAAATAACTGAATTCACTTTCTATTAAATTTTAATTTAAAATAATTTAAATGATTATACTAATGAAAATATTAAACGTTGCTGGAGGACTGGCCACCAGGTGGGGCTACAGAAAGAAAACCTAAACACTTTTTATTTTCATAAAGTTATTTTGATGATGGTATATTTAATAATATGTATAAACAAAGTCTGCCCAATAGGGGGCGCTAGAACATCACTCAGCATTATTTCAAATAACAAAGCCCACCTTCCTAAAGTGTTCTCTATGATCGCTAACACTCGCTTCCTCTCTGTGTGTGTTCAGCACTGATATTTGACCCCGCCTCCCAGCCGGCCCCCAGCGCCATTGGCTGCATCGACCCCAACTGCAGGGTCACCGAGGTCATCCAAGGTCAGCAACATGAACCCTGAGTGATAATGTTACAGTTACAGCTTTAATCAGTCATAATGTTACAGTTACAGCTTTAAACAGCAGCTGTGTGTTTGTTTCCTCCTCAGATGCGTATGAATGTGCGAGGATGCTGTCTGAGCAGTATTACCTGTGCTCACCTGAACTGGAGCTCAAAGAGCTAAATGGTAAGAACTGTATATACATACATACATACACATACACACATATATATATATATATGTACACACACACACACACACACACACACACACACATTAGAGGAAAATCAGTTGATAAATACAAGAAAATAAAACCAGAGAGTGAAAGTGTGAAGTGTCTGAGCTGACAGGGTCAGGGTGAAGTCCGTGTGAGATCAGTGGCTGTGACGGTGCTGAGTGGTCCGGCCTTTGGACGGAGCTCTGAATAATAAAACCAGCTGAATCCAGTTCTCAGCAGAACTGAGCTGCTCCTCTTATCTGCTGATGTGTTTTTTTGGCAGTGAACGGCGAATCCGAGCCCATTCACATCTCCTACGTCCCCTCACACCTCTACCACGTGCTCTTCGAGCTCTTCAAGGTAATAAACTCTGAATCAGCAGTGAAATAAAGAACAGATTAAAGCGGTAGTTCAGATTTCCTCCCACATCACGCCGAACGTAGCTGATCGGCCGAGGTGTGTCTGAAACTCTGATAACGTTTGTTATCTTAAAACGAGGAAATCACAATCAGTTTTACTGAACATCTCCACACAGCTTAAGGCGCGCAGTTAGCACCATGCTAATCAGTGGAGTAAGGCACGCAGTTAGCACCATGCTAATCAGTGGAGTAAGGCACGCAGTTAGCACCATGCTAATCAGCGGAGTAAGGCACGCAGTTAGCACCATGCTAATCAGCGGAGTAAGGCACGCAGTTAGCACCATGCTAATCAGCGGAGTAAGGCACGCAGTTAGCACCATGCTAATCAGCGGAGTATAAGCTTCCATTACTTGTTAGCCACATTAGCCTCCAGTGCCTCCAAGTAAAAGAAGCAAACTTTAACATTTGAGGTAAATTTGACTTTTTGCTGAACTCTCACATGTAAATATGTTAGTTTTATGAATGGTGGACTTCTCTCTTTAGAACGCGATGAGAGCCACTATCGAGAACCATGAGTCCAGCAGCACTTTACCGCCCATCAGAGTCATGGTAGCACTGGGAGGAGAGGACCTGTCAATCAAGGTGAGCATAAAAAACAGCAGACATCCAGAGGCTCCAGTGCTGTCACTGAATTTGGAATAAAATTAGATAAGCCAACACACTGTACACACATTCATATCTACATTTATTCATGTAAACGAAACTGAGATTCTGTAGATGAATTCAAAATATTGAGTAAGTGCAGAAAAACATAATAATAATGATATAATAACACAGATAACTGCAGTTCAGTGGGTATTTTGGTGTCCATGCTGCACATACCTTATTTGATCAGTGGTAAATTATTCATATGAACAAATATTCAGTTAATATTTTAATCAGAAACACATTATTTAACCAAAAAGTCTTCAGCCTCAAGACTGGAGCTTTAGCATTAGCTAGAAAACAGGTGCTAAATCAGCACAGATAGCTTTAGCATCATTAATGAACAGATGATAGTGACGAATAAAAGCATTGTTGATGAAGATGTTATGGAGACGTTATTGTGTTATTTTATACCTCAGCGTCTTTCTTGGTATCAGCTAAATCGCTAACGCTGTGGGTTTATAAGCATTAGCAGTGCAGGAGTTCGTGTCCTGAAGCTGAAGTCAGATCAGAACAGTTTTCAGATAGAAGCTCCTGATAAACATCTGTAACCTTCAGCCTGAGCGCTGCGGTCAGGAGGAACGTGCTGAGAGCTGCTTCAGTGTTCATTCACTCTTCACTGCCTCACGTCACACTGAGTTACATAAGCCAGGGTTAGCGTCGGCATTAGCGTTAGCATCAGAAACTAAACATTAACCAGATTAACCTCACTGAAATAACTCAGAGCTGCTCTGAGAGCTCACAGCGACCAGCAGCAACATCTTCAGCATGATTTTCTTTAATATTATTAATATCAGATATTCAGAAACCCTTTTCCGCAGGTTTGGACGTCAGTGAGACGCAGGTCTGTCCTCAGGTCTCCTGCGCTGAGTTAATGAGCTCTTCGCTGTTTGATTCTGTTTTATTGTGCAGATGAGTGACCGAGGGGGAGGAGTTCCTGCCAGGAAGATCGAGCAGCTCTTCAGCTACATGTACTCTACAGCTCCCCGACCGGAGATCACCACACACCGCCGCACTCCACTGGTACCCTCACACCGCCGCACCCCCTGATCTGACCTCCAGCCTGAGATCAGTCACTCTTCACACTCCGTCAGTTACAGAGCGGAACTGTGTTTATTCGGCTCTAATGATAGACTTTAAGTCCAGTTCAAATCACAGATTACATACATTTAGTGTCCACGTATCTTTTGGTCATTCCATTCTTTATTTCAAAACCAGGAAATTGGGTCAATTCTCGTTTTTGGTTTGGTTATTGTCAGTGGAAAAATCAAGAATTAGCTTCGTTTTACAGTTTCACTAACTAACCAGAAAATCAAACAACAAACAAACAACAACGGAATAAAGAGTCAAATCACTGAAATAGATAGACAGATAGATAGACAGATAGATAGATAGATAGATAGATAGAGGACTGAATGGCTGAATGATGATGACTGAATGACGGAGACACAGAGAGGCTACAGAATAACACAATAACACACACATACATTTAGACTAACAGAACAACTTTAACAACATTAAACCACAACAACGTCCCTTTTGACGGGGGGGCGGAGCCACAGCTCAGCTTTTCATACTGCTCCTTCCCAAGACCGGAGCCAGCGGCAGCTGCCACAGTATTATAAGAACACAGGACAGCGAGGAGCTCACAGCTGTAATTAGTTATACTTAGTTATCACAGTTATAATTAGTTTGTAAAACTGTAAAACTGACGCAGAATAAATAATGAGGATTATGAGGCTGAAATAAAAATAGAACGATCTAAAGATCACTTATACACATCATTCACTTCAGATCTCCTATTTACCTATTTACTGTAAAAGATCAGCTGTGTGTGTTATACATGCTATATATGCTGTTTCTGATGGTGTGTGATTTTCGGTTATGGTCTGTCTGTGTTATATATGGTGTTTATATGGTGTTTATAAATGGTGTGTGTGTTTCTATAGGCTGGATTCGGTTATGGTCTGTCTGTGTTATATATGGTGTTTATATGGTGTTTATAAATGGTGTGTGTGTTTCTATAGGCTGGGTTCGGTTATGGTCTGTATGTGTTATATATGGTGTTTATATGGTGTTTATAAATGGTGTGTGTGTTTCTATAGGCTGGGTTCGGTTATGGTCTGCCGCTCTCTCGTCTGTACGTTCGATACTTCCAGGGAGATTTACAGCTCTACCCGCTGGAGGGATTCGGTACTGACGCAGTCATTCACCTAAAGGTAAAAACAGGATTCAGTTATAATAAACATTTTAACACAAAGACTTTTTAAAGGTCTAATCCAGAATAATGTTCTAAAACACAGTAATGTTCTAGTCTACAGTGATGTTCTAATCCACAGTAATGTTCCTCCTCCCTCAGGCTCTGTCCACAGACTCAGTGGAGAAGCTTCCTGTCTTTAATCAAACAGCGGTACGTCACTATACGTCCAGTCATGAAGCCGATGACTGGTCTGTTCCGAGGAAGGAACCGCTGGACTTGGCCAGAGACAGAGCGGCCAAGTGAAGATCTAGACTGGACTGCTCCAGGAGAAATCGGCAGCTGGGACCAGCGAGTGACCCTCTGAGGGTACTGCTGAGGGCAGTAAAGTGACCAAACTCAGACACTCAGCAAAAAACAGCTGCAGCTCTGAGTGAATAATCAGAACCTCAGCAGCTCCAGTGTTCTTTAGGCCCGCAGAACTGAGAGTCCAGAAACCTGAAACCCCAACCTGGAGTGGAGAACCTGCTGAGGACAGTGAAGACCACTGTGAGAAGGTTTGTGGACGTGTGTGTCCACAGCTCTGTAGAAAGAAGTGTTTAGAGAAGCATGGACCACAGAATGAGTTTTGATGGGTGGGACCAGACATTAGGCCCCGCCCATCATGTAACCAACTGCAGTGTTGCTATTAAGATGTTACAGTGCTTTTACAGAATGCTAGATTTTACTGCTGGAAAATGTCTTGATTGTTTAACTGCAAGTCGGCTCAGATGGAAATCACCAGTCGTAGAGACTGAGTCAGTAAAGTGTGTTATTGGGTTTACTGTGAGACGAGCACAGCCAGCAGGTCTGGAGGTTTTGTCAAACCCTTAATTTTCCAGACTAAGATAATTTGTAATAAGCACCCGGCTATTCCACCCTTTAATGAATGGAACCGTGATGATATAAAGTTAGCTTATAGGCCGGGCAGCGTAATATACCACTGTATATACACCGCCCCCCCCCAAACGACGACAAAAAGTCAGTGTAAGCTGACGTCTCTTATATACAAAACACAGTTCGCACATCGGCAATATCAGTCAACACTGGGGTTCAGGGACACCGTTTACAGTTTCCCATGAGTGCAAAGTAATCAGGGAGAGTTTGGCGAGTAACAAACATGGCTGAGACTCGGCGGTCTCAAGTTCAAAAGCCTGGTTGCTCACCACCTCGTCGGCTTCAATAGCGGAGCAAGTCTGCGGTTAACTCTGTTGTCAGACTCTGTTTAGGGTCTGTTTGATAACTTGTTCCAATAAAAGTCACCTCAAACTGCAAAAGTCGTGCAAACGGTGAACAAAAAATAGAGAAAACAGCTCCACAGGAGAAGTTTCCAACGCGTTTTCAGCATGCCGGTCCTCTCTCCCGCCGCCATGTCCTCCCTTCCTTGTTTTGTGTTTGCCTCCATCCTCTGATTGGCCAATTGTCCCATGACATAGTGAATGTGAAAGGGGTCATAGGAAAAAAGCTCCAAATTACCCCTTTTTAATAGGTCATTAATTATTAATGTTCTTATCTGTATTTTAAATCAGCATTCAGTGTGCGCTTGTCACAAATTTACTGGTCGTGTCCAACAGGAGTTTTACTCCCTGGTTACATTTCAGTAACAAACACAAGACGACCTGACTTTATCAACATATAAAATGCAGATAATCTGTAATAAATACAACAGCAAACTCCATGTAATGAAGAGCTTCAGGGGTGTCTGAGTATTAGAGCCAGGTGTGCTGGATCTGAAGCCTCCAGGGCGGAAGATGTCCAGGTCCAGGATTGGGCCCCCTGCAGTCAGCAGTAGTTATATAAAGTACAGTTCAATTCAATTCAATAAGCTTTATTGGCATGACCATATTCAGTTACAGTTTTGCCAAAGCATCATCAAAAAGGAACAAGAAAAATTTAGAACAGAGTGTATGAACTCTTAATTCCATTTGATGTAAAAATAATTTTGAGAGAATCACATAAAAGAACAGTGAAATAGTCATTTGGAATTAAGTTGTAAAGAAAATTAAGAAGAAAATAAAATAAATAAATAAATAAATAAATAAATAAATAAATAAATACAGTATGTCACTACAATATGCTAATGTCAGTGAGGTTAGATTCTTATAATTAAAAGGTTTATTATTCATAATTAAATCATTCTGAATGAGTCACTCTTCAGTTATAGATTTCAGAAATGGACGTCTGGACCTGCTGGCAGCTCCTGGACATTCAAGGTCTTCTCCTTTCTGTTATCTGTCTGAATAGAGGTGGATTTTATAATGTGTTTTTGTCCCACATTAAAAGCTTCTGTGGTCCATGCAGAGCGAGGGGCGCTAACAGAGACGATGAGAGGTCTGAGAGGAGAGTGTGAGGAGATGGAAGTGGAGAACAGTGAAGTGTAAGTGATCTGAGGATGATGAAGAGGAAGGAAATCATGTTGGAGAAGTGAAAGTGATGATGAGTAAAAGCTTATCGAGGTCGTTTAAACCCTGAGCTGTGATCTGCTTTAGTTCATCTCTCCTGAACTACAGTCTCAGTTTGTTATTGATGGATTTATAATGTTCTAAATCACGTAATTTCCTATTCGAGGCTGAACGCTGCTTTTTCTTTTGTTTTGGTTTGTTTTTTCCTGATCCATCACTCTCCGAGTCTGAACGTGTGGGTTTCAGCCGGACGTTGATGTGGTTTGCAGTGTCCAGTAGAAATACAGTTAAACACTAACAGACTTGGACATCAAGCCTCGTTAGCTGACAGTATTATCAGTGAAAGCTGAAGAGCGTCCAGCGCTTCACTCTCTAATGTTTTAACTGAATTATGTTCTGATTTCTGGATGTACATTTCTGCCATATTTTATTTTTGTATGACAGGTTTCACAATAAAATATTTTGAGTATAAATTTGTTCACTCTTTCACAGTGAAATGTAGAGAAAAATATCTGGTGGTTAATCGTGACTGTTTGAATCACACTGAAGAACATTCCATTGATTTATTCAAATTACAGGTAATTATAAACGTCACCAGCCGGTTCATGATTAAAACATTCAGCAGAAAAATGATGTAGAGTTTGGCTGTGAAGTCGATCACAGTTCTGTACATTTGGGCATTTAAGACTCTTACACTGAAATAACTGAGAGGAATTCAAAAATAATGAAATAGTGTAATAATAATAATAATAATAATAATAATAATAATATGACTTTAATCATTTGAAATGCTAAATTAAATATAAAGACTCAGTGATTGATATCACCTTATTTGAACTTTGCTGCATAACACTGAAATTATTATTTCATAAACATTTAATTGCAGATTCTGTTAAGTTATATAATTGTCATGTTTTAATTACTGTTTATCATGATAGATGTTATTATGTTTGAGGTCTACTCTGCTGTCAGCCATTATATCAAACATTGTGACATGTGTAAAACATTGTTATGACATGGTTATGTCAATGTTATATAGCAGGGTTTAAATAATATGGTACTGGCTTGTCAGCATTAAATGAATACTGAGCTCATCAAAACATTTTACTTATATATTTGTGTATTTGTGTATGTAATTGTGGACATAGTTATCCTCTACACAGTCTGGCAGCTTATTATTAACAGCCAATGAGCTGCAGGAGCTAATTGAGCTAATTAGTTTAACATGCTTCTTACAAGACTCACAGATATTTATAGGAGCATGACAGTAATGTTACAGCTTAATCACAAAAAGAGAATTGTGGGTAACAAGCTGTCCGTGTTCATGTCTTACTGACCTTTGAGATTTTGATTAAAAAGACTTTATTTCTGAGGAATCAGTGAATAAAATTACATCAGCATCTGTTATTTTACATCATCATCACAATCAAAGTCATGTTTCATACACTACAGTCGCCCCCTTGTGGATATGTGTAGATTACCATGCTCTTTGCAAACATAGGAAACAATTTTATTTTAAATATTAGTAAAACTGATTCAGGATCATTCTGCATTATTATTGTGTTCACTGGATTACTGCACTGTATTCACGGTATATAAAGAAAATGAAATGTAGTTTGTGTTTTAGTGCAGTGAGACAGATAATCGTCACTGCATGTACAGCCAGCAGTCAATATAATCAATACACATCACCCAGCACACAATACAAACACAAAACAACATTACCACTAAACCAGCCACAGTGCAACTAAACCCAGCCTGAGGTTATCACACTGAGCGCGTCCTGCTGATCTGATGATACCTGTGCAGGTGATCTAATCATACCTGTGCAGCTGATCTGATGATACCTGTGCAGCTGATCTGATGATACCTGTGCAGCTGATCACAGCTCAGAAACATGAACCAGAGTCCTGTCATCTTACTGTAACCAGTGGAGTCTCACAGTGGAAACAAACACTCAAACAGCCATGAACAAACAATATGTAAATCAATTCTGTTTAAACTGAACGTTCAGAATGAGGTTTTAATGTCATTGGTAAGATGTGATCATCTGTATTGATGATGTGATCATGTTTTTTTTAGATTCATTATTGAGTGAAGAAGCAGGCTATACACTGATGTGATTGGGTGAACAGTCTGGTGTTAATATTTCTATTGGACTCTTTTAGTGCAGCAATAAAAGGACAGTTTAAACAGATCGTTTCCTTGGCAACAAAGAAACTCAGAGCAACATCAGAACATCAGAGATGAACCTTTAATGCTAACACAACTTCTTTCCAGCTTTCCGGATGAAAGTCTGAACTCTCAATAAAAACAACAAAATATGAATCTTCAGATTACAGAACATCTCTGGATCTCTGAGTGGAACCGGGTTCTGTAGTCAGATAAGACCAAGAAACAGAAACCTGTTAGGATTTTTAATTCAGTGCATTAAAAATAGGACTTGACCACCAGGTGATGCTGTTTCATTACAAATCAATCTGCCTCCTGTGGATGAGCTCTCCCTGCATCCTGTAATGATGAGTTCAGATACTATGAGATACGGATTGATCTGCATCCAAGGAGTGTTTATTTATTTATTTACTTATTTATTTATTTATGCACTTTAGACATATAAGCACATAAAATTACAAGGAATTATCTGATGCCAGACTTATATTATAGTATAATATATAATATAATATTCATATTAGTGTTTGTCTCAATACAGGCCTTTAGTTAAACTCCAGTTAGAACAGAAAATGTTACATATTGAAAATATGAAATTAAATTTAGAAATGATTTCTAAACAGGCTGCTTTACCTTTAAAATGATCCCATTTTTCTAATTTGGCAGGAAGTAAATTCCAAAAATTCATGTTGTCCACATATATGGACAGGTCAGATACTTTTTAAATATTGTATATGGATCATTCTACCAAATTACTCCAAACTTCACAGTAAAAAAAAATACATGAAAAATAATACATAACAAAAACTATAAAAAAGAATTCAGATCTCAGATATTTGAGGATTTTGTTCTGATCTGTTTTACCTCAAAGCATTCATAGAGACAGTAATCAATTATATACACAGTCATCATTTATAGGGTTCTTTCTATCAGGAGGGGTCTGTCCCAAACACTAACCTCTGAATTTACACGTCTGAAAAAATAATTGTTTCTTTAAAGTTTTTTTTTTTAAAGAATTTTACATTTCTTTTAAAGGGCAGTAGGGGTCATACTTAAGCCACGCCCTGCGTTTCAGAGCAGGAAGTGAGGCTGCATCCCTGGCCCTCATGGCCACATGGTGAGCAGTTAGATCCCATTGTTTTGAAGTAAATGAGTCCCAAAGTCTGAAAATCAGTGTGGAACATTAAGAATCGCCATATTTTCTGCAGTTCAGCACTTTTTAGTGTTTTAATGTAAAATATGATGATTTTCTGTGTGAACAGCTGTTCAGAGCTGTGTTTGCTGGTCTGAACTGGCTGAGTTTCTGAGCTCAAAATGAGCTAAAACTGTCACTGAAACAGTCACTACTGAAACAGTCACTACTGAAATAGACACTACTGAAACAGTCACTACTGAAACAGTCACTACTGAAATAGACACTACTGAAATAGACACTACAGAAACAGTCACTACTGAAACAGTCACCACTGAGACAGTCACCACTGAAACAGTCACCACTGAAATAGACACTACTGAAACAGTCACTACTGAAACAGACACCACTGAAACAGTCAATACTGAAACAGACGCTACTGAAAGTCACTACTGAAACAGACGCTACTGAAACAGACGCTACTGAAACAGTCACTGCTGAAACAGTCACTGCTGAAACAGTCACCACTGAGACAGTCACCACTGAGACAGTCACCACTGAAACAGTCACCACTGAAATAGACACTACTAAAACAGTCACTACTGAAACAGTCACTACTGAAACAGTCAATACTGAAACAGACACTACTGAAACAGTCACTACTGAAACAGACGCTCCTGAAACAGTCGCTGCTGAAACAGACGCTACAGAAACAGTCGCTGCTGAAACAGACGCTACTGAAACAGTCACTCCTGAAACAGACACTACTGAAACAGTCACTCCTGAAACAGACTCTACTGAAACAGTCGCTACTGAGACAGACGCTACTGAGACAGACGCTACTGAGACAGACGCTACTGAGACAGTCGCTACTGAGACAGACGCTACTGAGACAGACGCTACTGAGACAGTCGCTACTGAGACAGACGCTACTGAGACAGTCGCTACTGAGACAGACGCTACTGAGACAGACGCTACTGAAACAGACGCTACTGAAACAGTCGCTACTGAGACAGACGCTACTGAGACAGACGCTACTGAGACAGACGCTACTGAAACAGTCGCTACTGAAACTGACTACTGAAACAGACACTACTGAAACAGTCACTCCTGAAACAGACTCTACTGAAACAGTCGCTACTGAGACAGACGCTACTGAGACAGACGCTACTGAGACAGTCGCTACTGAGACAGACGCTACTGAAACAGACGCTACTGAGACAGACTCTACTGAAACAGACGCTACTGAGACAGACGCTACTGAGACAGTTGCTACTGAGACAGACGCTACTGAAACAGACGCTACTGAGACAGTCGCTACTGAGACAGACACTACTGAAACAGACGCTACTGAAACATTTGATAAAGTTTGGTAGAGTTATGATTGATTTGGGATGTTCAATCATTAGTTATAATAAAATAATGATAATTAAGGTTTAGAGTCACTCAGAGAAAAAAGGACTTTAGTCTGAATTCCAAGATCAGTTAAAAGTCACAAAATGTGTTTCAGCTCTGAATCTGAACCCGTTCAGTAGAATCATCTATAAATCCATGAAACGTTTAACAACCTGTACTGGAAAAACGGTTTGAAGGATATTTCAATAAGAAACATAACAGATTCCTGCAGCAGGGAGACTGAAGAGGTTTCAATATGACGAAGACCTCAGATATGACTCTGAGATATGAAACAGAGGAAGATGAAGGCCTCAGATATGAAACAGAGGAAGATGAAGACCTCAGATAAAGGTCTCAGATAACATGAGCCTCAGATATGACGCTGAGGATGATGAAGGCCTCAGATATGAGACTGAGGATGATGAAGGCCTCAGATATGAGACTGAGGAAGATGAAGGTCTCAGATATGAGACTAAGGAAGATGAAGGTCTCAGATATGACACTGAGGAAGATGAAGACCTGAGATATGAGACTGAGGAAGATGAAGGCCTCAGATATGACACTGAGGAAGATGAAGGCCTGAGATATGAGACTGAGGAAGATGAAGGCCTCAGATATGACACGTATGTCCCTATGGGTCATAGTGTTTTTTTTTGTAGTGTGTCTTCTGTATTTATTACAGAGCTGAGGGAAGATACACTGAGCCACCACCAGGGGGAGCCGCCAATAAAAGAGAGACGCCCAGGAGGAAGTGCGGTGCTTTTGCTTCTGGCGTGG